CAGCTTAAAGGGGGAGTGGGGGGAAATCCATAAAGCGGGGTGTCAAGGCCATTATCCGACAAACGAGCATAGACAAGTGATATTTATCAGGCGCAGGGGAGGAGGGCTTTGGAATATTGCACAAATCAGTTCCAAAGACAGACTGGATTGAACAAAAAACGGCCAACCAGCGAGTGAGGTAATAGTTTATTCCGGGGAAAAATTAATTGCTGAAGGATATTGCCGTGAGGAAGAAAAGATAGGCCCTGAGTCTGAAATCTGATCTACATGGGTCCTGGGTCTACCTGATATGACTTGCAGGATCAGGGCCTTAAATCTCATATGTTTGTTTGATTATTGGTGGGGAAAATGTGGATTTTTATCCAGCTTTCAGTGTCATATAAGTATAAATTTAAAATATCTACATCTCAGTGATGTAAGATGAGAAATTGCAGCTGGATTCTCGATCAGCGCTGAGTACAACATGCAAAATCCTGCTGTGTCTTAGTAGTGTCGGCGCCCCCAGGTGAGAAAAGGTGCAGCAGGGAACCTCTTAAATTACATCTGTGCAGGAACTGGGTGACTAGAGTGCTTTGCTTGCATGTTAGACTGGGAGGACCTAACAAAGGGGAGGGGGCCAGCCAGCCTGGAGGTGTGGCCATGCCTGCATGTTTGAGGCCTGATTTGCAGTTATTTTGGACCTGCTCGTGGGGCAGGGATGACTTTCAGCCATGTTTGTACTCGCTGTATTCTGAGGTTATGGAGGCCCTGGGAGTAAGTTAGAGCAGCCTCAAGGCTGCTCTAATTTACACTTTGTTTCCCTTGGCCCCTGGGAAATAGGGCAGCTGCAGGGCAGTACACTGGTCCAATCACAACCCCCAATCCAGTCCCTCAGCTAGGGGCTGGGAGCAGGGTGTGCATAGAGCCCGCAGCACACCAGCCAGGGGAGCCCTCTGCACTGGTAGGATGGCCCTGGAATGCCCTGGACCCGGGAGCATCTCACAATAGCCAGGCCAAAACTCGGCCCATAGTCTTTGGCTCCTCCTCCACAAACGATGATATTGGATAAAGTGTACACTCGCATTAGAAGCAAATCCAGTCTTTTTTCAACAAATTCCATCGTTACACACTTTCCAGTCATCTGTAAAACAAACACAATTATATCTCCATTCACAGTCAAGGTTGATTACGGTTATTTATTCAGAGCTTTAAGTAGAAGTAGAAGATGACTCTTTTCTGGAAGCTCAGAGACTGGGCCAGCGATACAGACTGACTGGGGTGTAGCTAATTTGTCTAAATCCTGCCGCTGCCACTGATAATGTTATTGAAAAACACAAAGGGTAAGAGGCTCTTGCGTGTAGACTGACACGCAAAACTGAGCATCTCTTAAACTCTGAGCTGATTATGTGTAAATGATTATCCTAAATGCGGGATTTGGGCTCTAAAGTAGCCATGCAGAACGTTCACCTTGAACGGCAGAGGGATGAGACACATCAAAGTCTGGTGTTGGATTCAAACTTTGCACGGATGGCGATAGGTTCAGGGTGCAAAGGTTCTGTTCCTAGCTCTGCCACTGAGTCGCTGTGCAACCATCTGTGCAATGGGAAGAATAAATACGGGGGGCAAAGAATCAGAACTGACACTTACTTGATTCCTCCCCAAGACAAGAAAATCAAAGAGTAATAAAATGTGTTCGATTACTCAGAGCGGGAATTAACCTGCTAAGAGGAATCCTGCATCACAGCTGAAATTGCAAGCTTGTGCCGTGGCCACACAAGCAGTAGGCTGATTTCACTGTCCAGTGGTTAGGAGATGTTGTGAACTAGATCTAAAAATTACTGGCAAGTGACTGACACTGCGGGGGATTTTAAACGTAATGATTCCTCTTTAGTAACTTCAAGTGGCTTAATTTTATACACTGGTACCTTTCCTGGACCATTTTGCTGATCCTCAGAAAACTGGGAAAGCATTTTGGGGGTCTAGTGGTTAGAGCAGGTGACTGGGAGTCAAGACCCCTGGGTGCTGTTCCTGGCCTTGGAGGGGAGCGGGAATCAGGACTCCTGGGTTCTATTCGCAGCTCTGCTACTGGCAATACTAGGTGTCCTTGGACAAGTCACCTCTGTTTTCCCTGTACAATGGGAAGAGCAGCACTTCTCTGCCTCATAAGGCTGCTGTGAGCCTGAATACACGTGTGCAAACACTATGGGTGACAGTGTTTGCTGCTCTTCCAGGAAGCCCTGACCAGAGCCCAGGAGCGGGAGACAGAGGCGGCTTAAAGATGCAGCCGAGCTTGTTACGCGGCGGCCACTGCCCTCACCCACCTTGGAAAAATAACCAGCATCAGTCCCAGAGACACAGCTTAATCCATGCTCTTCCCCCAGCCCTCATCGCTCTGGCACGTGCGTTCCTGAACCTGCTCTGCATGCTCACATTCACTGCCTGCCCCGGCGATTAGGGTGACATCCCAGCAAAGCACAACCACCCCAGGGAGCCCCCTTGGAGGGGCCCAGGCGAGACTAGCGGGAAGAGGACTTGTCTGCAAAGCTCCTTGCCTGGTAGCTCTTCCTGGTTAACGGATGGCGGGCGTGTAGGGTGACCAGACAGCAAGTGTGAAAAATCGGGACGGGGGGGGGGGGGGACTAGGCGCCTATATAAGAAAAAGCCCCAAATATCAGGACTGTCCCTATAAAATCGGGACATCTGGTCACCCTACGGGCGTGCCTTTCATGGCGCAGAAGCCACCTGACTCCTTGTCTCGGAATGACGAGACCCACTCCTGGCTGCTGTGTAAGCGGTGAAGGCACAAAAGAGGGGACGGGTGGGAAGGGCCACGGGCTAGTCCTCCCAGATAATCCTCTTGACGATTTAGTTATTATTTCTGTAGCGCACTGGGCCTGAAGAGCTTATAGCCTGCCCTGGTTTGCAAACTGATGCCAGCCCCTGGATGTTCGCTCTCACTGCAGTTTAATACACAGATTTTTGAACCAGTAGAACTAGGACAGGGAGGGAGGTTATTTTTTGTTATCAGTATAGTTTTACCCTCTGCGGGGGTGACCGGTCGCGTCTGCAAGAGGAGAGGAGCTGAATTGAAAAGTTCCTCCAAGGCTGGGGAAAGTGGTTGATCAAACTCTGCGGCGTGCGTAGCCTTCCTTGTGTCGGTCTTCGGGGCTGCTGGCCCAGGCGCTGCCCAGAGCCGGTGTCTTGTTGCGTAGGGCTGCGCAGTGTCGTGGGAAGCAGCCTGCGGCGAGTGGAGTGTGGCAGGCCGCGGCTGCCAGCAGGCCAGATTGCCGTGTGACTGTTAAATGCAAGCTCTCGCTGCTTTAATGCAAAGAAGAACACACGCATCATTAAAGGCAGCAACTGCTCAGTCCTAGGGTATGTTCACACTTCCAGCTGGAGGTGTGAATGGTGGCTCGGGATTGTACTCAGGGCAGCTAGCCCCTCCCAACACTCGCACCACCCACTATATTTTTAGCATGGTAGCTCCTAGTGCAGGTATGTCTCCTCCAGCTCAAAGTGGGGGTGTACCCAAATAACCGTCCTGGGCTCCAAGCACTAGCCGGGGAGTCAGGAGACCTGTGTTTAGTCCCAGCCATGGGCCTGGATGGCTGTGTGACTTGAGGTTGCTAATAAGAACGCTTTGTGCCTCAATTTCCCCATCTGTAAAATGGGGATGATCACACCCACCTATGGGCTGGGCTGTGGGATCTTGCATGCAGGGCATCATGTGCATTGAAAGCACCATGGTGGCATTAGCATCCTGGTGCCAAGGGGGAGTTCGTGGCCCTGGAGGCTTGTTCAGGGAGCACACATGTCGTACATTCTCGAGAGTCTCCCCTTGCGCTCCCCCACAAGGATGTAATCTCTTCTTCACCCTCCGCTTGCGGCTGGTTCACTTACTGGGACGTGGGGGGAGGGGATGCTTCTTTCGGTCTTAAAAGCTGCTTAAGGATTTAGACCGCCTCAGTATTCTGTTTTTAATTAAAATGGTTTTACCGAGGAAAGCCGGAAGCGATTCAGGGGGGAAATATAAGCCCCTCGCACGGCTGAGCGCGCTGATCCTGGCGCAATCAAAGGTCACAGTCTCTGCATCCCCCTCGGGTGGCACGACAGCAGCAGAACGAGCAGCAGCTCCCACGTGCTGCATGACAGTGCCCATCGCCCCCAGGGCTGCAGCTGTGAAAAGTCCACGGAGGTAGCGTGATGAGAGAGGCCCAGGTGGTGTCGTTGCAGTAGTGAGCGTACAGCCACCAGACCTCGCTCTACATAGCGCTTCTCATCCATACATCTCTGAGCGCTTGACAAAGGAGCTCAGTATCATACCCCCATTTAAGAGATGGGGAAGTTGAGGCACATAGAGGGAAGTGACGTGCCCAAGGTCACCCAGAAGCAGAGCCAGGAACAGAACCCAGATCTCCTGTGCCCCATTCCAGTGCTCTATCCGCTAGACATCACTGCTTCCCACATGTGCCCAAGGTGACTAGACGTGCCTTAAACCAAGGCACCGCGACTCCATAGGGAGGTGCATGACTCTGAGCCACAGAGCTCAGGTCTGCGCTGCGTGGGCATCCCCACAGTGCTGAGCAAAGTCCTGCCCCAGCGGGAGTATCACCCCCAGGGTGGGGTTGTCCAGTCTCCGCTTTGCCTGTCCCACAGTCCGGCTCCGGGATCTGGAAAAGGCAACCTCAGCACAGTTACAAGTGGCCCCCAAAAGGAGGCGTGTTAGAAGCAGAGGCTGGGTGTATGTGATGCGACGAGGCCCAGCAGCCTCTGAGCTGGAAAGCCGGCGTGAGCACCTTAGCCCTTGGACAAGGACCATCTTCCAGGCTAGCCAAGACCTGAATCTCAAACTTCAAAAGCAAGCAGCAAACCATCTTCCAGTCTCCTTTCTGCCTTCTTTATCCATCCCAAAGCATCGCTGAAAAGTGCACCAGCCCCCCCTTTGCAGGTTGTCTTTGAACAGGCGTGGCTTTTCTGTCCGGAGGACTGGTAACACGGTTGACCTCTCCTTCTTTCTGTAGGGGTGCCACTTCCGTGGTGTACAGCTGTGAAGAGAAAGGAACCCACACGCAGTACGCGGCCAAAATCCTGAAGAAGACGGTAAGTACCTGGGACGCCGTCCTCAGTGATTTCCGAAAGGTTCTGAGCAGGCGTTAGCAACACGTGGTAAGTAACGGGAGGGAAAAATCCTCGTGTAGACAAGGCAGTTTGTAGTCTCAACATGAGTTAGCAGGTTGAGGTCAACCCTAAATTCCCCCATAAGTGAAGAGGCCCCCACTGAGGTCTGGATTTAGGACTGCACGGTTACAAATTCCGCCTGGACTGCAAAGCATCTGCATTGATACAAGCAGATGTTTCTTTTCTTGGTACTTTTGGCTGCTACTAATTAATGCCAGGAAGAGGAAGAAATAAGCAGCCATGTGGCTGGGGGAAATGGGAGAATCCCCTGGAGATAGAGGGAGTGAAGGCATGCATGGCTGGGGAATTTTCTGGCCCTGGGGAAAAATGGACCGTATACAGGAAGGATGGGCTCCACCTAAACCAAAATGGAACCAGATTGCTGGCGCTTAAAATTAAAAAGGTCGTAGAGCAGTTTTTAAAAAAGGGCTGGGGGAAAGCTGACAGGTGCAGAGGAGCACGTGGTTCAGACATCTAATAGCTAATGTGATGCCAATTTTTAAAAAGGGCTCCAGAGGAGACCCCGGCAATTACAGGCCGGTAAACCTGACTTCAGTACCGGGCAAACTGGTTGAAACTATAGTAAAGAACAAAATTGTCAGACACATAGATGAACATAATTTGTTGGGGAATAGTCAACATGGTTTTTGTAAAGGGAAATCATGCCTCACCAATCTACTAGAATTCTTTGAGGGGGTCAAAAAGCATGTGGACAAGGGGGATCCCATGGATATAGTGTATTTAGATTTTCAGAAAGCCTTTGACAAGGTCCCTCACCAAAGGCTCTTAAGCAAAGTAAGCTGTCATGGGATAAGAGGGAAGATCCTCTCATGGATTGGTAACTGGTTAAAAGACAGGAAACAAAGAGTGGGAATAAATGGTCAGTTTTCAGAATGGAGAGGGGTAAATAGTGGTGTCCCCCCTGGGGTCTGTACTGGGCCCAGTCCTATTCAACATATTCATAAACGATCTGGAAAAAGGGGTAAACAGTGAGGTGGCAAAATTTGCAGATGATACAAAACTACTCAACATAGTTAAGTCCCAGGCAGACCGTGAAGAGCTTCAACAGGATCTCTCAAAACTGGGTGACTGGGCAACAAAATGGCAGATGAAATTCAATGTTGATAAATGCAAAGTAATGCACATTGGAAAACATAATCCCAACTATACATGTAAAATGATGGGGTCTAAATTAGCTGTTACCACTCAAGAAAGAGATCTTGGAGTCATTGTGGATAGTTCTCTGAAAACATCCACTCAATGTGCAGCGGCAGTCAAAAAAGCAAACAGAATGTTGGGAATCATTAAGAAAGGGATAGATAATAAGACAGAAAATATCATATTGCTTCTATATAAATCCATGGTATGCCCACACCTTGAATACTGCGTGCAGATGTGGTCGCCCCATCTCAAAAAAGATACATTGGACTTGGAAAAAGTTCAGAAAAGGGCAACAAAAATTATTAGGGGTATGGAACGGCTTCCATATGAGGGGAGATTAATAAAACTGGGACTTTTCAGCTTGGAAAAGAGACGACTAAAGGGGAATATGATAGAGGTCTATAAAATCATGACTGGTGTGGAGAAAGTAAATACGGAAGTGTTATTTAGTCCCTCTCATAACACAAGAACTAGGGGTCACCAAATGAAATTAACAGGCAGCAGGCTTAAAACAAACAAAAGGAAGTATTTCTTCACACGATGCACAGTCAACCTGTAGAACTCCTTGCCAGAGGACGTTGTGAAGGCCAAGACCATAATAGGGTTAAAAAAGGAACTAGATAAATTCATGGAGGATAGATCCATCAATGGCTATTAGCCAGGATGGGCAGGGAAGGTGTCCCTAGCCTCTGTTTGCCAGAAGCTGGGAATGGGCGACAGGGGATGGATCACTTGATGATTCCCTATTCTGTTCATTCCCTCTGGGGCACCTGGCACTGGCCACTGTCGGAAGACAGGATACTGGGCTAGATGGACCTTTGGTCTGACCCAGTACAGCCGTTCTTATGACCATGGCCGGGGAATTCCTGGTTGCTGGAATGACCCCTTGTGAGCTGTCAGGAATAACTCAGAGCAGACTTGGATGTTAAGGGACTAGCCCAGCCCTCACCACCCGCAGGATTTGGGGAACCAAACAGATGGCTGAAAACAACCTTTGCCAAACCCCCTTTGCTGCCCGACATGTTTATCGTCTGCAGGTGAAGCTCAAACCTTGACTCTCGATTACAGTTCCTCTCTCTGTACAAAGGGTCATGACCAGCTAACTGAAGGCGGGTGGAAGCCCTGCTCTCTTCAACTCTCTAGTCTGTCTCCCACACAGCTGTGCAGCTCTCTGTTCTGCTCTTGGGGGTTCCCCTCACATAAGTATTTAGAAGACGTGCTTGAGTGGAAGTGGGAGAATTTACATGCGGTTAATACAATCCGGCTCAGAATTCATTCCAACCTGGTTTTAAACAGCAGCAGAGGCCTCTGCATTTATGTGTTGCTCAAGCCCGACGTCCAGAAGAGTTCGAAAATGTAAAGATTTGCGTCATGGGTCTTATTTTATTGTATTGATTTTTAGATTGACAAAAAGATTGTACGGACGGAAATCGGCGTCTTACTGAGGCTTTCGCACCCCCACATTGTGAGTACAAACCGTGCGGCTGCTTTGTGACTTAAATCCACTCGTGTGCTCCCCAGACGGGAGTCCGCTATGAATCTGTCCTGAAGTAAATAGCCATAACATTTTGAGGGAGGCCAGCACAAGCCAGCGGCAGAAGGAAGGATGGAAGCAGTGGATATGCGTAGCCCTCTACCTCCTGAACCTCCTGGTATTGCACCCTAACCCATGCTGGGATTCCCAGAACCCCATGGCCCCTCATCAGGGGCGCCGGGGTCCAGTTGTTGCCCAGAGAGAAACGGAAACACACAAACACACCTTGTTATGGGGGGGAGGAAAGTATCTTCCCAAAGGAATGCAGTTTTGATTTGTTGGTTGTTATGCTGTAGATTTCTCTAGCGCATTTCACCCAGGTGATGGGCACGGGTCTCAAACCCTAAGATAACAGATGGGATCCCCAACTGTTTCCCCTAAGCTCTCTCCATGTGGCAGTACTGAAATGCAGCCACCTCTGGGGCAAAGGGCAATGCCCGGCGCACAGTGGGCAGCAAAACAGGGAATCTTTGGCCAAAGATGCTGGAGCAAACCCCTCTCTCTTGTAGCGGTCCCTTATGGCCTGTATCTACCCCAGGGGTCGGCAACCTTTCCGAAGTGGTGTGCGTGTGCCGAGTCTTCATTTATTCACTCTAATATAAGGTTTCGCGTGCCAGTCATACATTTTAATGTTTTTAGAAGGTCTCTTTCTATAAGTCTATAATATATAACTAAACTATTGTTGTATGTAAAGTAAACAAGGTTTTAAAAATGTTTAAGAAGCTTAATTTAAAATTAAATTAAAATGCAGATTCCCCTGGACCGGTGGCCAGGACCCGGGCAGTGTGAGTGCCACTGAAAATCAGCTCGCGTGCCGAAGGCGGCACGCGTGCCATAGGTTGCCTACCCCTGATCTACCCTGACCTCCTGCATAACCCGAGCCATTGTGTTTCACCCAGTGACTCCTGCCACCCGCCCATTAACTTACGACTGAGCGAGAGCATCTGTTGAGTCCCAGCCAGTCTTGATAGAGGATGGGATTTTCAGAAGCACCTAAGGGAGCTGGATGTCTAGCCCCCGTCCGAAAGTCAGCAGGAATTCAACTAAGTGCCTAACTCCCATGAGCGCCTTTCAAGGCGGCAGATGATGGGGGAAGCTGCTCCGACGGCGAATCGCCTTCACGCTTAAAAATTTGCACCTTGTTTCCAGTTGACATTTTTCTCCCGGCCACTCTCACCCCCTGGGCCTTGTTCTTCCTTTGCCTGCCAGGTTCGAGCCCTCTGCCCTCAGGTCCCATCTCTGCACAGGGGAACTGGCAGACCGAGATCAAGCCGCCTCTCGACTTTTGATAAACTACGGGCAGGTCTAGAGTACAGTACAGAATTACTTTGGTATAACTACGTCGTTCGGGGTGTGAAAATCCACCGACCTAACCCCCAGTGTAGGCGGCACTATGTCATAGCTCTTGGGAAGATGAATTAACTACAGCTGTACAGCGACGTGTCTACACCTAAAACGCTACACCTTCTCCTGTTGGCACAGGTAATCCACCTCCCCGAGAGGCAGTAGCGAGGTCGACGGGAGGCCTAGCGCTGTCTACACCAGGGGTCAGGTCGGTATAACTGTCTCATTCAGGGGTGTGGATATTTCACGCCTCTGAGTGATGCAGTTAAACTGGTCGAATTTCCTAGTGTAGACCAGGCCTTAATAAGCGGAGCTCCTAAGTCTCTCCCTGTGAGGTGTGTTCCCCAGACTTCTCTGTGCCATCATTCCTCTCTGCACAAAGCAGACACGCGCTGCAGCTTGGCAGCCTTCCTCGCCTGCCTGGGAAACCGTCAGCCAGGCTCAAATCAGCCCTTAGCCTTTTCCTCCAGGCCCAGCCACCAAACTCTCCAAAGGAAAACAAAACTTCCAGCTGGGGCTGTCTGCCCAGCCATAATCCCCAGAGCTTTCAACCTGCTGCCTCCCTTCTCCAAGGACTCCTGTGAGAGACAGTCCCTTTCGGTGGTCCCACTCCACTTCCTGCCGATCTTGATCTATCCCCTGCTCAGCTGCATCTGATTAGTGACCAGGACAGCTGGCCCCAGGCCTCTGGCCCTTACGGGGCAGGCAAGAGTCCTGCACGGGACTGTTTTCTTAATCCCGCCCCACAATACCCATTCCCACCCTCTCCCACATTGTTTGTTGAATTTTTATCCCATTCCCGCGATTATGGCACCAGGTCTGCAGGACCCACAGGATCCCAGTCCCGCTGTAGGGCAGGCCACCCTGTTCCTCGTGGTTTATTTTTATTTTAAAGGTCTCATTCAAAACACCCACCAGCAGCACCGTGCATGGAACTCACTTTACCCACTGCCTCGGGAAGGACAGGATGTGAATTAGCCCTGCTGGAGTTTGCCACTGTCTGAGTTTCCAGGGGTCTTTCAGGTGTTCCAGCTCTGACATTCAGGCCACTAGACTCCCCCCTCTAAGAGTTTCCATTCGGTAAGCGATTTCTATCGAGGAGATCAATTGAATGCCAAAGAAAAGTGCCTGTTTGTAACGAATCCTGCAAAGGAAGATAAAGTCGAGAACGCCAGGCCATCTCTTGCCAACAGCTGAGCTCTCAGCCGCTCGCCAGCATGAGCAGAGCGGCGTTGATATAATGCAGCGCTCAGAGGATAATGACAGTTGAACTGGAACAATTTGTAACGCGCAGGAACAGATATAATTACAGAAGGAGTCGGCCTAGATGGGACCTTCTTGTCAGGTTCCATGTAACTGACGCGACACGCTGCTCTGTCTACTAGTCCCAGACATTCAAGCTGTTAATTCTACCGGGGTTAGCACCAGCGCTTCCCATTGAGCTGCAGGGGCTGTGCGCTGGGCAGGATTGGACCCCTTTCCCGGCCTTTCTATCTCCAGAGGTTTATTCCTGGCTGTTTACTTCCCCAGCTGACATGGAATTACCAGGAGACCAGATGGCTGCGTTCTACCTTCCTGCCCCCTGTGCATGCTGTGCTGTAATGTAATTCCTGGAAGAAAAGCGCCCATTTGTAAACGGATGGTTTTTTCACAGGTCCGCAGAACGCCAGGCAATCTGAATTTTATTTTCATTGTTGCAGGGTAACCCCCATTTCCCAGAAAGGCTGCTTTTGGCCACTTCCCCGGGTGAAGGAGCTTTCAACAATCCCCGCCCTCCTCGTGGGGATGAGATTGAGAATGGAAGTCTTGCCCGCTTGTAATCGTTAAAGATCCTCCTGGCAAAAGCAAAGCCAACAGGACAGGGAATCGCTGGAAATCAGGCAGCTGGGGGAAAATCCACCCCCAGTGTAACTCCACTCACTCCAGGGATGGATTTTGTCCTTTGTCTAGGGTGATCAGACAGCATGTGTGAAAAATAGGGACAGGGGGTGGGGGGTTAATAGGCACCTATAGAAGAAAATGCCCCAAATATTGGAACTGTCCCTTTAAAATAGGGACATCTGGTCACCCTACCTTTGTCTATCCTCCCCCCACCTCCACCCCCAACACACACACACATTTGTGTGACATTTCCTAGTGCTGTAAATGTCCCAAGCAAAGGAACTTGCTGTACTTACCCACAGAGGCTATTTCACATTCTTAGCTCCCTGCCAGGAAATCGTCACTGAAAAGATCTGGACACCCGTTGTTAGAGGGCTGGAGCAGGCTGCCTGGTCTGAGACAGCTATATTCATATTTGTATTTGTTCTTTGATGGTCTCCATTAGCGACCCCTGGTGCAGGAAAGCATCCCCTTTTGGAACAGCCGGTAAGCAGTTGAACTGGAGCAATTTGTAACACCCAGAAGCAGATATCATTACAGAAGGCGACCGCCTCGATGGGATCTTCTTGTCAGGCCACGTGGAACATGCGACACACAGCTCTGTCTGTTCTGCCCGGGCACGCAAGCTCTTGATCCTGCCAGGGGCTGAGCTCCATCCCATGCTAAAAGATCTGCTTCAGGAATTATATGGGGGAAATTCTATGGCTTGTGTTACACAGGAGGTCAGACTAGGTGATCACAGTGGTCCCGTCTGGCCTTAGAATCTATGATTCCGTAGACTTAAGTTCTGTCTCGAATAGGCACATACTTAAGCGTGTGCTTAAGAGAGATCCTGAATTGGGGCCAAAAGGCTGTGTATGGCCTTATCTGTTAATGCCCCTGGTAAGCTTTGAGGGTCTGATTCTTTGCCACCTGCTTTCTAGACTGATTTCAGCATTCAGTTCTCCTCTTTTGATGCGTGTGAATGACTGGCAAGCTGTATTTCGTTAAGGGGGGACGTTTTTCAAGAGCACCTAAGGCTGTCTGTGACACCTTAGCTATCCCAGTACAACCCTGTAGTGTAGATGTAGCCTACAGGTTTTCCTCACTGTAGGAATTCCACCACCTCCGCCTCCTTGAGCATTCTTCCGTTGACTTAGCCATGTGCACATCAGGGATTATGTCGGCACAGCTACCGCCCTGAGGGATGTGGATTTTTCACACTCCTGGCCACCACAACTATTACCATCTAAGTGTTAAGTGTAGACCAGGCCTATTTCCCACAGTGACACTTCAGCTCCTAAATCACTTAGGTTTCGATCCTGCTCCCATAAAAATCAATGGTGAAACTCCCATTGACTTCAATGGAACAAGATCAAGCCACTTTTGAATATGTTACCCTACGTCTTTTTAAAAGATATGATAGAGACCCAGACCAGATTCTCAGTTGGCGTAAATCAGCCCAGTGGAGCAACATCAGCTTATACCAGATGAGGTCCCACATTTGCTGTAGATGCACCACATGGTCTCTGAAGTCTTGTTTGTGCAGAGTCTGGGGGAGAGGCAAAGGAGAGATTGCCTCCGGTGTGTTATAAAGCGGGTAGAAAACTTAATTTGCCCACCCCAGAACTAGGCGCAGCTACAGGCCAGCTCCATTGACATAACCAATTGGACAGCTTTAGTATTTAAATCAGTTCTGCTCACTCCCTAGTTCAAATGATTTTTTTTAAAATGATGCTTCATTTCATTATTTACACTGGTGACATCTGTACGCTTCTTGCTGTCATTCCGTACCCACCTCAAGAGCAGACGATAATAGGATTGTAAACTTTTGAAGTTAATAGGAAAATTATAGCACTTCTGTGTAGTATTATAATACAGTAAGCTGCCACGATGTCTCATACGTAGGTAATGATTAAAGCCCCATGAAATTCACAGTGTCACAAAAGTCTTAAGCACTCTGAAATTTTCTTCTTTCCATTTAAAAAAAAATGCACGTGATGCATTTTTATGAGCCCTGTTAATTCCACATTTGCTGCATTGGCACAAAAGGCCAATGCAGGCAGTCTCATTTAGTATCATTTATTTTTTTTAAATCTTCAGGAAATATTATTTCTTTTCTGCTTTCCTCATGACAAAACAGCCTGTGCATCACAGGCGACCTTTTCAAAGGTGCCTAACTGACTTAGGTGCCCAACGTCACATTTTCAAAAATAACAGAGCTGGTCTCTTATTCCTGATAAACAATGTATACAATCGCTACCTAAACATGAGAGGTTCCTAAAACATCAGGCTGTAGCAAAAGAAGTTTGCTGTGTATAAGCACATGGGACCCAATCATGTATCTTCGGCACACATTCCAGGGCCGCCCAGAGGATTCAGGGGGCCTGGGGTCTTCGGCGGTGGGGGGCCCCCGCCGCCGAAGACCCGGCACTTCGGCAGCGGGTCCCGGGGCGGAAGGACCCCCCACCGCTGAATTGCCACCGAAGACCCGGAGCGGAAGAAGCTCCGGGGGCCCGGGCCCCGCGAGAGTTTTCTGGGGCCCCCAGAGCGAGTGAAGGACCCCGCTCCAGGGGTCCCGAAAAACTCTCGTGGGGGCCCCTGCGAGGCCCGGGGCCTGGGGCAAATTGCCCCACTTGCCCCCCCCTCTGGGCGGCCCTGACACATTCATTTAATTTTCCCTTCCTGTCCTTTTTGTCCTTTCATGATCTAAGGATACTGCAAATAACATACTGGAATAATGGTACAGTTTGTTCCAGGAAAGGGCAGATAACTCAACTGCAGTTGGCGATTCCAGCATAAATGCCCTGTGGCCAATTCTGGCAATTTTAATGTGGGTCTCATGATATTTGGTGTTTTTTCCTTAAAGCCTCAGCTCCTGGAGTCATGGGATTATGTAAAACCCTTGGCTTACATTCTTTTTATTTTTTTAAGCCAGTTTCTAGTGCTCACAGTTGCATAGGAAAACTTGAAAATGTGACATCAAAAGGCTCAAAGATCAGAAGGCAAATAAAAAAACCAAAAAAATTATATAAAAATCTCGTGATTTTTTAAGATGATCTCGTTATTTTTTCAAGCCTAGACACTTGGGATTAGCAGGACTGTAAATGCAAGCACCCTTATTCTCAGTAACACTAAGGTCCCTTTACACGGCTGTGGCATCAGAAAGCAACCTTAGAGTGGATGAAACAGTCCCCGGAGTATCCCCCTGTGCAGGGGCCATGCCCAGCCACTGCAGAGCTGGCATAAAGGAGCTCCTCCAACCTTGCTCCCATTCTCTGACCTAGGCAGTGAATCAGGGATGTGACCAGAATGCAATGCTCCATAGCTATGTTTGCTTCCCATGGTGGGAACCAGAGCGTAAGTTAGAATAGCCTCAAGGCTGCTGTAACTGACCCCAGCAACCAGGCAAGCCTCTGAACAGGGAGTTTGCATCTCCTCCTCTCTTTGATCCAAGTGCAGGAATGGAGTAACTGAAGCCAAGTCCACCCTAGAGGTGCTATCGTGGTATAGCCCACTGTAGTGTAGACGTCGCCGACAGCACTGTGAGGGGGTTTCCTGTCACTGTAGAAACTCCACTTTCCTGAGCGACGGTAACTAGGGCAATGGAAATGTTCTTCCATCAACCTAGCTGCATCTACCTGGGGGCTAGATCAGCACAGCTCCAGAGCCGAGGGGTGTGGATTTTGCACACTTCTGAGCCTACATTGGAAGCATAGACCAGGCATGAGAATCGGGCCCAAGAGCTTCAAGCTGAAATCCTGGCCCTGCTGAAGTCAATGGCAAAGCTCCCATTAACTTCAGTGGGCCGGGATTTCACCCTTAGGGGTAAAACACTCCAATTAGCAGAACCAGCGGTTGAGTGAAAGAGCCAAGGACAATAGGCTTTGCAAAGCCACAGGAATGTGTACAGCAGAGGTTGCTCAGTCATCCTGGCAGGGATGGAGGGGCTGCTAATTTAAAAAGCTTTCATAGGCTACAGTACATTCCACTTACAATAATGAGCATCAGGATCTGGAGCGAATAAATGCAGGGCGTGCGGGTCTGTTTCCCTGCTCTAATTTGCAGTTGTTGTTTTTTTTTAAATGCCCGATTAAGTGAGCAAACCTGTTTTGAACAGTTAAAATGCCATGTTCAAGTAAAAAAAAAAATTAGGCATATTTGCTGACGGCAGCCCTGTTACGCTGATGCTGAACTTGTTACATCTACGCAATCTGTTCTGCATTTATTTATTCCTCTCACCACAACGAGCCTCCCCGGCATGCATCTCATGAACGAATTAACCTGTTCTAGGAATAAATTGACTTACAGCGAGTACAGGGCTGGCGGAAAGTTCCCACTGCGCCTGGCTTGTAATTGACATGGTTGGAAGAATGGCCCCATTCTCTCAAGGGAGCAGGGCTGTGAGTGAACTGTTCCTGTTCTTTTCAGATCAAACTGAAGGAGATCTTCGAAACGCCCTCCGAGATTGTGCTCATACTTGAACTAGTGACGGGAGGAGAGCTCTTTGACAGGTACTCAGCTAGACCTTCATTGAACCTGCAAATTCTTAATAAAAGGAGACACGTCTAGCCCCACCAAAAACGTGGAGGATGGAAGGGAGATCTGAGTGGCTCAGGGGCTAAATTACCAGCTTTCCATCTCCAGGCTCATAGATCCATCAATTCAGGAAACCAGGTGATTTGCAAGTGGCCAACGAGGGACACAAAAAGACCTGATTCTCGAATGCCCTACATTTACCTCTGGGAAAAGCCAGCATCAGATGAATGACAGCTGTTAAAGAGCTGGGCTTTAATATTAAGAGGTCACTGTGATAAAGTCTATATGGAATAGTTAACTTATAACTGGTGTGGGCTGGGCTATCTTTTGGGGATGGGGGAAAAAGCTGTTTTCTTTGGGCCTCGTTTGAGTTTCCACTAGGGAAGTGGAGTAAGCTCACGCGATGGGCTGGAACTGAACCTTTTTCGAGGGTCTGAAATCAGCCCTTTGTTTTTCCCTTCCTGTTTCCAGGCGTGAACTGGCCAAGTGCAGAAATAAGGATGACAGTTTATAGAGGAAGAGCCTCGTAGTGCGAAAGGGTCTCAAACTTGGTGTGAATTGATTCCAGGGCAGGCTGTGAGCCACCCTGGGATCGGGATGTGCCATTGCTACGCAGGCTTCTTTGTGACCTCTTTGCTGTCTTCACCTTACAGGATTGTAGAGAGAGGATTCTACAGCGAAAGAGACGCAGCCCATGTGGTCAAGCAGATCCTAGAAGCTGTATCTGTAAGTTTGCCCCCGTTTCTTTATCTGTCTACAGTATTTTGGCCTCTCTGCCTCTGTCAGACCCTGGGGGTCATGGACAGCTGTCAAGGGATCGCAACCATTAGAGCCGGGAAAATAACTGATAAAGTTGGGAGGGGGGAAATTGTGTCAAACACAATGTTTTGTTTCTTTTTTTAAACTTTAAAAAAAATAACATTGAGGTAAAATTCACAACGCAAAGTGGTTTTGAATGGAAATGTTTCATTTTTTTCCCCCCGACTGAAATAATTCCGGGGGATCTGACATGAATTCACACCAGGTTTCACTTGACCTGAAGCTGCGTTTCTTGGCCAAAAAAAAAGTTTCAGCCAAAAAAATGTCCCCCAGTTCTAATGATCACCAGGCCCCAAGAATAATAGATGGGAGGGAGGTCCTCGCTTAACAGGAGGAGGTTCCTCAGTATGGCAAAGATTAAGAACCAGTAGTTTGCTGGTTAGATCAAGAGATAAGCCGCCTGTCTCTAGCACTGTGAGACCTTGGGCACCTCTGTACCTCAGTTTACCGAAGGGCTAATAACTCACCTACCTCTGTGAGGCTTCATTAATGTCTCTCAAGCTCTCTGAGATCCAAGAGCAAAATATTATATGTTGCTTTTCTGATTCTGTTTATCTTTCTCCCTTTCTCTATACCTGGTTCCCTAAAAAGAGGACAGGATGACAGGGGGGGGCACCTGCTTTATACTGGATCATGGGTTGTTCAGAGAGGACAGGGGGCTTTGTGGTTAAAGCGTCATGGTAGGACTCAGAAGTTTACGTTCAATTCTTGGCTCTGCCACAGTTTCCTTGTGTGACCTTGGCCAATTCACTTAGCTGTGCCTTGGTTCCTTTAGCTGTAAACTGGAGATGATGATACTTCTGTTCTCCCACCCTTTGCCTGGTCTATTTAGGTTAAACTCTTTCAAGCAAGGACTGTCTCTCACTCTGTGTCTGTACGGCACAACGGGGCCTATAGGCGCTAAGGTAATGTAAATGAAATATTATGCATATTTAAGGCATATTTGCTTAGAAGACGCCGGTCTCATAAACCTGCTGCCAAATGGCATAAGAAAGGAGTGGGTCTCTGAGTACCCGAGAGAACAGCTGCAGCTTGGCTTTTGTCCTGTTAACTGGTGGCCCCTTCCCGGCCTTTTAAGGTCACCCGTCTCGGGGATCAGCAGTCTGCAAAATGAAGAGCACAGCAGCAGTGCTGCAGATTCAAGCACAATTACAAGGGAGGCCTGTACCCTGTGTTTGTGGAGGAAAGAGAAAGCTGGATACCTCCCCATTGTAGTGGAGGGAAATGCCATGTCCTCGGAGCACAGCCCGGCTAGGACCCCTGCATATGAAACAGAGGGGCTCCCTTCCTTATCCTGCCTCCGTGACTTCCCTAGTGGGGAAGCTTATACATCAAAGCAAGATCTTTCCGACTGCCAACACTACGAGCCTAACCTGGCATCTAAACATAAAGCTACGTGCTCTCGGCCTCAGGCGTTGTCTCCTTCCATCGTCAATGATCAACGTTCCGGAATCGGAATTTAGCTGGCCGCTGGGCTGCCGGTGCACAAGGCAAGCGAGAACGGAGCTCGCTCTCCCACCATCCGCTACTGGATATTGGATCCTCTACCCCAGTCCCTCCTCCATGTGCATTAGTGCACAGTTAACTAGATGCATTATAGGCTCACGCTCACCTGCAGGGACTGGCCACTGCTAGAGGCAGCTACTGAATGGGATGGCTCGGATCCAGGATTAAAACAGATATGTGCAGGGCCAAGGCGTCATTGTTACAGGGTCTCTTTAATGGGACTGTTTCTGTGCTGACCACTGGGGCAAAGGGGGAGCCCATCAAAATGGCTTTGTGGGGGTGGGGTGGCCCTAGATATGCTCAAACTGTCCCAGGGGCTGGTTATTAAATCAGTGAGTGGGGACTTAGGCTTCGGGGCAAGCCTGTCATGACCGGGCGTGTTTCTAGCAAGCGCTGTCAGTCTTCACAAACAAGTTTACAACAGCCGCAAAATCTGCCAAACTGTGTTTTTGTGCAACTGAAGAATCCCCGCCACTCACAAAGGAACCCACGATGCCTTGTTCGGAGGAGCTGCCTCTTCAGATCTGTGCTCTGGAGAGGATCAAAGAGACAGAGAGAAAATACCTTGGATTTGTATCAGGAAGGTCACTGTTTCTCTACATGAAAGGTTAGCTGAAGAGAGTCTCTATGGCAACAGAGGGTTTAAAAAGGGAAGCTCATAACAGAAAATCTCCCGTGTGGAAATTGCACCTCCGTCCACGTAGGCAGGGAGAGAGCAACAATGGACCCAGGAGTAAGGCATCCAGCAAAGGGGGTTTTAAAGGAAATAATTGGGATTTGGGGATCTCTAGGCGCGCCGCATCACACAGCAAACCGGGGCAACATGCTGCACATCCCCAGATGTGCTCTTCCCTGCCCTTTCGTAAAGAAAGCTGATTAGCAGGTCAGGGTTAAGGGGGGAGCAGGTTACCGTAGAGGGGCGGTGATTTCTGTAAGCGAGCTGTGCTTGGAGGAGGAGCGTTCGATTCCTATAGTTGATCAGTACAATAGAATACAACAGCTGATCAATATGAGCCGAAGGGAACATTTTTCTCTCCCCTGCTGCCGCTGTGGCAACAGCCATTTACGTCGTTCCGGACACAGCCAAGGTGCCATTATTTATACTATAGAAGCAGCAGGTGCTTGGTTGTGTGCTTGGTGCTGCCCGTAGTGGGCGACAAAGCTGACAATCCAAACAGGAAGAGAGACCAAGGGGAAGGAAGGGAAACAACTTGCTCATAGTCACATGCTAGGTCAATGGAAGAGCTGGGGATGGAATTCGGGTCTCTTGGTATTCGGGGTAGGTTCCCAGCTATTGGGCCCTACCAACTACTCACTGATAGTGTGTTTTGCGTTCTGCCTCCTCTGCTCTCATTCCTCCATATCCTCTTTTCTCCTTGCTCCCTTTGGCTCCTTTTCCCACTCTCGTACATCCACTTTCCTGAAAGCCACCCGCTAGTTCTCAAAGACCCTCCCTCAGCTCCTTCCAGTCACTTATAACTGTTCGATACGTGCCAGGCACAATATCGACTTCAGCAACGACAGGGTGACCTATCTCTGTGTCTGTTGCATATGGATTAACACCAGGTGGCTGGTGTGTTCCTGTTGACTAGGAGTGCTTGGGTGCAGACAAAGCATGATCCAATGTTGAAAGAGAGTTCTAATCTTCAGCTGTCTTTGTCTGCTGAGAACTCTGTCTAGAACTGAACAGAGACTGGGGCCTGATTTTCGTCCACACCAAGGCCCCTTTACACTGCCAGAGCCATGTAAAAGAGAGTAAGGCCCTATGTGATTGGATAGTTCTGTCTATGAACTCTCGTACTCTGTTTAATACAAACTAAGCATTGTGGTAAGGAAATCTAAGTGGGTATTTTGTGATTCTTCAAGACACAAATCTTCTTCCTTTGCAAAGTCTTCATAGGTTGATCTCCTCAATGAAGACGTTCTCTGTGACCTCTTGTACATGAACTGATGAGCTGTGTCTGAATCACACTGCAAATTCACAACTGGGGCATTGGGCGGGATCCCGCACTGGTGTAAGCCGGCATAACTCCATTGACTTCAGCGGAGCTACACGAATTTACACCAGCTGGAGATCTGGCTACTGTCTTTTGACATGTGTTTACAGAGAACCAGGGTCCATCACTTGGGGCAATCACAATACAGGTCGCTAAGTCTCACGCTAGTGATACAGCGTAGAGGCTACGGAACCGGTTATGCGCCTCCATGACATTCTATCCTAAACCGACTCTGGCATGTTCCGGGAAAAGAGTCCTCTGAAGGACCAGTGTCCGTTGATGTCCAGCCATCGGAGTTGAGGTTTTCCACCGGGTCTTTTCCATCCTCCTTTCTTTGGGTCAAAGTCAAAGAGGATTCATGCCGGAGGTTGACGGGCATTCGGAATGGATAACCACGCCATCTTAGAAGGCGCTGGGCAACCATTTGAGGGGGTTGGAAAACTGAGCTCGCCATTCAACTTGAGTTCGTGCCGTTTGATGTTATCAGCCATTCAGCGATGCTTCCCGGTCACACTATAAAGAGTGACTGGTGATTTGTAAGTAATTAGCTTATAAATGGCGAATACCAGTAACAGTGTAATTGCATTGGCCAAAAACCAAGGGCCAGATACTCTTATTGACATTGAATGGTACCTTATTCCTAGTCCCATGGATGTCAGTGGAATGAGACGTCACTTGTAGAGAAAGTTGCAACTCCACGTGAATAAAGGTATCAGAATCGGGCCCTGAGCGAACTCTCCAGGGTTTGGCTCAATGTAATTAATACTCTGAACGCTGCTGTATTATCAGTTATCATCCCTGCATTTTGTCTGACCCTGAGTTGGCTTTTTCTCCCCCGCTTCACATTCTCTGTCTCTCCAGTATTTGCATGAAAATGGAGTCGTCCACCGTGATCTGAAACCAGAGAATCTCCTGTATGCAGACCTTTCCCCAGATGCCCCTCTCAAAATCGGTATGTTTGGGGGGCAAGCAGCAGAGTTGGGGTTTCCTGTGCAAAGGCAGCTACCGTCCATGGGGAGGGCCCAGTCCAACAGGGAGTGGGAATTTGGTTCTTGATTTCAGTGGGCTAGAGTAGACTATACTCTTTCAGTCTGCTCTGAGTAAGGGGGTGGTGTGGAGCTGCATTGTCCCAGGAGCAGATGAGAGAAAAAGGGTAGAATGGCCCCATTGACGTCCATAGTGAAACTCCCATTAGCCTCAATGGGGCGGGATTTCACTCTGAATTGTGACTCAGTTCCTTCCCGCCTTTCCCCTTTACTCTAGGGAGGGTGGAAGTTACTTCCCCCTTTTCATGGCTGGGATAGTAATAATTCAGTCTGGGATTCTCCAAGGAGCCTATGGGAATTAGGCACTCACATCCCAGTGAATTCGTAACTCCCTTAAACTGAGACTAGGACATTCAAAGAAGCCTATCAGCTGAAATCCCCATGCTGGCTGCGGAGCATGCCATGGTACCGTTGCCCCTTTGGCGTGAGCGATTAGCCAATATTTGGGGCCTTGCTGGGTTGTTTACAGTAGGAGGAGAGATTGACGCTACTAGTCGAGTCTATTCTTGGCTGTAATCTTATTTACAAAAAAATGCACAGACAGACCTGTCTCCCTGATCACAATAGAAGCTAACAGCAGGCAGTTTCCTTGCTCAGAAATCCCCGAGTCTGCCCCTCCAGTGAGCTCTGTGCCCAAGAATATCCATCTCAGGGTCATGCTCACCATTCTTCTCTTTCTGTCTCTCAGGAATTGTCTGTACTTGAAAGTTGTTTTGGATTAACCTGAGTTTTTTGGGGGATAAAGTGTCTTGTATCTACATGCAAAAGATTTTCTTTTCAGTCATCTGATGTTTCAACCCACGCTAATAAACCCACTGGGGAAATGAGTTTGCTGACATTTCGGATGAGTTTTCCATCCCTGTCCTGAATCCACACCTGGCAGTCCTCCCTCTGGATCCCACACTGCTTGGCTGACTACCTGTGTCAACCAGTCTGCTTACCTGAGTGTCCTCTACTGCTCTGGGGTCACTTTGACTGGATGTTACCTCCCCATTTAAATTCTGGCTTATTAAAGCCAAATGAAGGCAGGGATGCATTGAGAGAAATTAATGGGAATTCTTCAATTTGACCCCAAGTCCCAGAATTCCAGTGCCTTCTGGTAGCTATCCCACAACATGCCGCGAGGAAAAATCCGAGACTGCACCGAGCCCAGGTGGGATGCGTGGGATATCTGCCCAGGCTGCTGAGTGCTGAATTCAAAACAGCCCATCATTGTGTGGACATGCTGATCCCAAAGGGGGGCACCTTAACCTAGGATAACAAGGTGGGGGGGATGTGCTGCTTGCGCAACCGTTGTTCCGGATCACTCCACGCGGATAAACATTCCCCAAACCGACTTTCACGTATGGATGAGCCCTCGTACGCACAGGTAGCAAAACCAGTGTGGTAGCCTGGGCAACCGGGCAACTCCGGTTAGCTCATCTGGGTTAGCTGTGCTGAGGAGTGCCTGGGCAGTTGAGTGCCTCACGTGGTAGCCTCCATTGTCTGCAGTTGTTTTGCTACATAAAGGGGCTGAATTGCGCCTTCCACTGAAAGAAGGCTGCTCAGCACACCCAGTTGGCTTTAACAAGGGCTGTGATTGTCTAGGATCAAAGGCCTGACCCGGATGGCAGCCACTGGGCACCTGTCAGCGTAACAGTCCTTTTTCTGCCCGTCTGTTCCCTTACAGGTGATTTTGGATTGTCCAAGATAGTGGACGAGCAGGACACCATGAAGACTGTTTGTGGTACTCCGGGATATTGCGGTAAGTGGCTGAGCGCGGAGGAATCGCGTAGTGGGGAGCTTGTGGAGGTGGGAGCGGAGAGGGAATGTATCTTTGCATGTTCTGATAGACAGAAACCCCTAAGGGTTTGTCTTCATTGCACAGGGGGTTTGCCCAAACCCCCACTACTGTCCACACAGAAAACCCTCTGACCTGGAGGAGCTTTAAATCCAGGCTATTTAACCCATTTTGGGAGGGGAGGGGGAGATTACAGCCTGGACTCTGCTGTAATTCAGGCTTGAACCCACCCGCTTTGCAGTTAGGATGCAGTCTCCCGTGTCTTCCCCCAGTTCTCCCTGGGGAGGGCAGACAAGTTCTCCCACAATTGGCACAATGGACTGGGAATGAATCGTAGAACAACTGTAGAATCAAAGAACCAAGGGTTACGCCTCCAGGCCCACCCGGGTGAGATCAGGGACAGTGAGGACGGAGTAAAGTGGCCGGGGCTGTGTTTTGGGGACACTCATACCTGGGGTAGGCTAGCCCAGCTCCTCAGACCCAGATGCTGATCACCCAGGTTAACTCTGCAGTGAAGACATGCCCTAAGAATTGCCATTCAGTCGTGTTAAAGAGAACGGTCCTGTCACCCAGGAGAAGCACTGCAGGGGTTTAGGAGCGCAGGTCTTATTGCTGTCCAATGGGAATTAGGCACCTAATTCCTTCTGGCTCTTTTGAAAATCCCACCCTGGGTCTGCAAAGACTTTCAAGATTTTCACAAGCAACTAGTGATCTGTGTTGCCTCCATTTTTGGATGCCCAGCTTGAGATGCCTTAAGAGTCTGATTTTCAGAAAGTGCCTAGCATCCAACTTCTGTAGAGCAGGCCCTTTTAAGGTGTCTCAAACTAGGCACCCAGAATCACCAGGCACTTGTGAAAGGTAAGCCGCAGACTGCGTCTTAAAGAGATACTATTATTTTAAAAATCCATATAATTTATTTATATTTAGGCTCCGATTTTCAAAGCTGCCCAAAAGATTGGGATGCCCATTTGCCACTCAAATTAATTGGAACTGCAGCTTTGATAATCTCAGACTAAATTTTTACATGTGCCACTAGTAATATCTTGAACTCTAAAGACAGGGAGAATATTTTACAGTCTAGTTTTCAGGGCGGGTTCCCTTGTGAGTAAAGCACAGGACTGGGACTCAGTAGGTCTAGCGTCTCTTCCCTAATCTGTCACAGACTTGTTCAAGTCACTTCATCTTTCTGTGCCTCAGTTTCCCATATCTCTAATATGGTTGTTAACTGCCTTGAAATCTTCAGCTGATAATGTTCTACAGAAGTGCGAATTTATTTGTAGGCTTTATTTAAAATATTGTTGTTCAAGCCACTTATTTCCTCTTTGCTTCTTACTGATATTGGTCCCCAAGATCTAGATGATTCTGCTTTTCTGTATATCCAGTTTTTAATATGCTTCATTTTTGGTTCTTCCTGTACATTGTCTAGAACAATGCTGTCTTATCCGTGTTCTAACCTCTGCAAGGGAATGTTTAAATCCCAACAGCAAAACATGTTTTTCATTGACACTTATTTTTTAATTCCTTGAAACCAATTCTCTTCATATTAGGGTTATAAAAGATCCTGAAAACCTGAGTTTTGGGCCTAAATTACTTGCTGTGGTCCCTTTAATGGAAGTGGCTTGAAACAGGAAGTTAGCTCAAAAAGTGAGATTTCAGTACACTGTCACTGCTTTGAGCTGGTAAAGGCACGATGTAAACATGACATTGTTTTGGAATTTTCATCTGCAATATTTAGCAGCTGATAAAACACCTATTAAGTACAGCAGACTGACCAATTTCTGTGAGAGACATTAACACATGACTGTTTGACTCTATAGTAACCCTATTGCTCTGGATTTACACCAATGTAACTGAAAGCAGGTGAAGGGAGGGAAGTGCAGTGGTTAGGGCTCTGGCCTGGGACTCGGGAAACATGGGTGTAATTCCCTTCTCTGCCACAGACTTCCACTATGTGACCCTGGGCAAGTCACTTAGCCTCTTTGTGCCTCAGTTCCCTATCTGTAAAATGGGGATAAAAGCACTGCCCTGCCCCACCCGGGGAGCTGGGCAGCACTCAGGTGCTGTGGTGATGGGAGCCATATAAATAATCTAGATAGCAGAATTTGATCCTCAGGGTGTTGACAGATGCCTCCTGCTGGCATATTTTAACTGTGAATTATGCTTTCAGCACCTGAAATTCTCCATGGCTGTCCGTATGGACCCGAAGTGGATATGTGGTCTGTGGGTGTCATAACGTATATACTGTGAGTAACGCTGGAAATCTCTGACAGCAGCCCACGCCCCCTCATCTTTGCTGCTTTTTCCAACCGCTGTCCCTAAGCAGAGAAGCACTGACTCATCTTAACTCCATCTGCAAACGTGTCTGGTGTTTTCACCAATCTGCTCCAGGGCCTACCACGCAACTCATGTTAATTACACGTCTAGTCCATGCAACCCTTACAAGAATGAGGACTTACCTGAGGACTCCCATTAATGAGAACGGGACTCAGGGTTGGCAGTCTCAGCCCTTAGCATCTACCAAGTGAGGCGGGGTGGACAATCTTTATGCTCGTTGGACTAGATTTTAACCCCTTAGTCACAGCAGTGAGCCATTAACTCTAACAAGTTGTCTCATTGGCCAAGATCTTCATAGGTACTTAGATACTTCCCTTCCATTGGGAGTTAGGCACCTAAATACTTTTGAACATCTGGACCTTTGACTTAACTCGTGGGAGCGTTCTCACTGGTTTGAGAAATGGGCTCACAATCTGGCCCTTTGTTTGCAGATCATAAAAATAAGTCATATTAAGAAGAGAGAGAGAGAAATATATACAGCTTTTTGAGAGATGGCTGTCTGTTTTATGGTATATCGTGATTTGTTACCAGGGTCTTTGATCACGAATGTCTGATTTTTCTAAAAGCCTTCAGTCACCCAATTTCTTTTTCAAGCCTCGTTCTGCTGTAAGTGACCCTGGCCTCTTTATTTTCGGAGCGGTGGTTACACCCAATAATACAGATTCCCTTATTGGAACCGTTTTTAAAACAAATGTCAATTACTGGCCAACTTTGAACTTATGGGGCCCTGCAGGCATGTTGTAAACACAGCTGGAGAAAGCAGATATCTTCTGACTGGCTGAACTTCATAGTACAGACAGTGAGTGCCAGCTGATAAATGAGCTTCCATCACTGGATGGAGGAAGATTTGAACAGTCCCTACTGCTATCATCTGCTATTAGCTGAGTACTGGTGTTTTTTTAAAAAACAACTTTAGTTAGTTAGTTAACTTTATTAATGCCCCAGGAGGATTTCTCTCTTATTAGTTTTTTCTACGAGTATATGAGTCTTTTTAAAACTTCGAACCCTAGACAGTTATATGCGACCACACTTATTCACAATGAGTAGAACTTTACTTTGCTCCTAGTCTCACTGAAATCAGTGGGCTGGAATCTGTTACTCCAAAGTAAGAGGATGAGAGAGAGAACGAATCACATGTGACAATGTGGAAGCTGATCATCGTAACTATTTGGAATAACTATACCGCAATCTCTACCCATGTGGAAACTCTGTTCCAGAAAAAAAGTTACTCCACTTAAAAAAGAATCTGGAATGGCTACGTTGGTCAATTTCCCCCATGTAGACAAGACCTTGGTCAGATCACTTACTGCACGACTGGCAGGCACTTGGAGTATAACGTCTTACATCCACTTTACACTCACTATGCCCTGATGTAGATGACAGCATAAGATACAGGACAACTGAGAACTGGGACCATTTTTTAGGTTAAAAACGTTCCTTGGCCAAGTTCAGATTTGTTGCCATGGTGTAAATCCAGAGTAGCTCCGCTGACTGGAGTAGAATTGTCCTAATTTGCACTGGTGTAACTGAGCTGCAAAATTTTATCCACCTCTTTCCAAAATGATCACCGAACTATTGTGAGCACGTCGCAGCCGTTCAGTAGCTCTGGCCCTATTTGGAATGTGCACGGTATTACTGGCTGTGAATTCTACATGCTTGCAAAACTAACAGATGCTCAGCAAGGGGCAGAAGCTCTCTTGATTGTTCTTATAGGTTCCCTTCGTTGTGCCATATGCTAAAGTGTAGCATGACTCATAGAAATTACAGATGGGGGGAAAAGCCCTATAAAGTAATCCAGTCCATCCGCCACGGCAAATGCTCAAGATTGTTCCCTACCGGATGTGCTCCAGTGTTTTGTCCACTATCGTTGTCAATGTCCCAGGTAATCGTGCTTCCGGCCCAGATTCACAAAGGATTTTGGGTTCCTAATTTCCATTGAATTCAGTGGAATTCCTTTGTGGATCTAGGCTTCCGCCATTTTTCTTGACTGCTCCACAGCGTTACAACTCTTACTGGCAGAAATTGTCCCCTGCTACTTGTATGTAGCCTCAGATTCCCTTTTCTTAATTTTATCCCACTGTGTTTTCAGGCTTTGTGGGTTTGAACCATTTTTTGATCCAAGAGGGGACCAGTACATGTACAGCAGGATACTGAACTGTGACTATGAGTTTGTTTCCCCTTGGTGGGATGAAGTCTCCCTCAATGCCAAGGACTTGGTAAGTTACCCAAGGCCACAGATGTAGATGCCATGATGTGGAAGAAATTATGACCTCGGTATTGTAGGTAACATGAGGGGGCGTCTTGTCAGGGAAGAACTTTGTAAGGCCAGGTCTACACCAGAAACTTTTTGCTTCAGAGTGTGATTTTTATTTATTTTATTTTATTTTGTGTGTGTGACATTTCTATACTGTAGCCCATAGGGCTAGCTTAGCCTTTATTATATTCAGCTGTAATGCAAGGAACATACAGGCCTGTATCCTGGAAGACATTAGCTTAAGCAAGTTCCCATAAGTATAATCCAGTACAGTAGGCCTGTGACTCATAGATAAATGCCCTGAGAGTCACCCTTAGATTTTGGGGAACTAGGAATAGCTTGCTCAACAGCAGGAGTTGGAACCTAACCGTGCACAAACACTGAAGTGATACTGGGCTTGGATGTTTTAGGATAGCTAACCCCTATGTTTTAGGATAGCTAATCGTTGGCAGATGTTTAACCACAAATTTGCTTGAGCAATAAGTGAGATGTATGATAATGAGTTAAATGGCATTACTGTGTATGCATACGATACGTTAACCTATAGGATAAGTGCACCCCAGTATTACCAGGGTGAGGAAGTTAGATTTGGACATGAGCATTAAAATGAACCTTCATGATAATGCGCAGGCCCTATAATAGGGCAAACCACCATGTGGCGGGGTTAGCTTTCCATCATTGGACCCTTCCGCTCTATTGTTATCTGCCATCAATCTTAGGCACTGAGGAACCTGAACCATTGGACTCATTCGGCATGCCAGAGACAGGGCTGGCCCTTTGTCTCTTACCATCAGGTCCTCAAGGAAGGGTGCAAGTATGCAAGTCTCAAGGAAGGGTGCAAGTATGCAAGTCTAAGAGCATATGCAAAGAACGATACCACAGATACTCCCCAATACTGTGTTATTCCTAACTCTTTTATGTGGTTTGGAGCTTTTCTGGCTTTATTATTGATCTTAATAAAAATCACTACGGCTGTGCTTTGCCCTCAGTCTAAGTGTCCTTGCCATACACCCTGAGGTTCCCTACAAGATATTGAACTCATTGGTTTTAGTTCTGTGTAGCCTAATTCTGGGACAATAGCCCTCTTACCCTCAGCCAGTCCTACCCGCGGCTCTGCTATTCACATGTTGAGACCTTGCACAAATCTCTCTCTGCCCCATCTGCAAAATGAGGGGGGTAATGCTTTGTTAAACATTTTGAGATCTCTGGGTGCAAAGCTCTCTATTTTGTTATAGCTGTTATTCAATAATAATAATATTTAATAATAATACAAAGCAGATTTGCAGAGCAGTCCTTCTGAAGTGCAATATTGAAGTACTAATGTCTTGAAAAGTACATAAGTTACTCCATTTAGCAGTCTTTCCAATCTCACAAAGTACAATGGATAGCCAAAAGAAAAGACAAACATGGATGAGCCTTATAAAATGACAGCAAAAGATGACAGGAATCAATCTAAAGTTAAATCTCTCGCCGTTTCCAGCAACAAAATATAAATTAAAACCATTCAGATCAGCATTATCAATGAATGATTATCATCCACTGTCAACTGATAATATTAAAATGTTTTACGATCAATCCATTTGTAAAAAATACAGGAACAGAGGATTTGCCAAACCAAAACAGACCAATGGTCCATCTGAATTCTCTTTCCTGTGTCTGGCCCCAGTTCAGGAAAGCACTAAGCATGTGATCTGTGAACTGGGGCCTCTGACAGTGCTCAGTGCTTTATAAGAAGACTTAAACCGTCCCTCCGATATGCTTACTTTTGCTTTACTCTACAATGGGATAAATTCTTCTTGAGTCATGCTGGTGATCATTCTGTGCCCTACAGCAAGAAGATGCATCCCCTTGTAATTGCATTCCCCATCGCCGGACTGCGGATGACATTAATGATAAAGTTCCAATTCCTTTTGAACAAACATATTTAAACTTACTTGTTTGAAATCTGGCTGCAGGTTCAAAAACTGATAGTCTTGGACCCACAGAAGAGGCTAACAGTACATCAAGCACTGGGACACCCCTGGGTCACTGGCAAAGCAGCTAAATTTGCTCATATGGATAGCACACAAAAGAAACTGCAAGAGTTTAATGCCCGGCGGAAACTGAAGGTAACGTTACAGAGCCTTGCTGTTAATCATTCTGGTATATTTCTTATTTCCCTTTTACATAGACTATACAAATTGTCACTGCTAACCAGATCTGCTATCGTCAGCTCTTCAGAATGCAGTGGTTTTAGTTAAGAAACACTTGACATTTGTCTACACGTTCGAGCTGATGTGGATTATGATAGGGCATGAATATGCAGCCCAAGAGCTATTCCAAAATAACTCCACGTGTAGACAAACATTAATTAAAATGTTACAGGTTTGATGGGGGACTGGATGGCTCAGGGAACTGGTAAAAGGATATGAAGCTTTTTGCGTCTGAGGCTGTTTCCACTGCCAAAAATAGGACTGCTGTTATGTCGTTAGCTATCACAGTGTAAAATTCTGGTGGGGACCAGGCACAGGTAGCTTCTACCTTGATGTGGCTAGTTGAAATAAACCCCAGTGACTGGTAGAGTGTTTGGACTCTGCTAGCTACGCTGAGGTAAAAACTGCCTGTGCTCTGTCTTCACTGGGATTTTACATTGCAGTTGCTAACATGATGAGAAAACACATCTTTTTTTACTCTGGAGACATCGCCTATGGCATCACTTCAAATCTATCTCAAAGTCATTGCAAGCTGGCGTCTCTTTGGCGGCCTGCGTGAAACGAACCAGAAGTCTCAGTCCATTCCTGGTGGATGGATGTTGCCACAAAAATAATTGGCCCCCTTGTTAGCCCAGATACCAAGGAATGAATGGCCCATGGAAACTGATCTCTTTCCTCTAGAGGGGAGGGGTATGTCTCCAAATCCGGACTTACACTGGGGAAACTGATACGGACCATGTTCTATCTGTTCTAGACAGACGGAAGTCCTCTGTCTACCCAGGGCTGTCGCTCCAGAACTTTCTCTGACACTAAATTCACTCTAGGAACTTAAATGAACAAATTACTTTTTTAAAACCCCAGTTTTACTAATGAAAACACTGTAAGTCTTTTAGTTGTATTTATTTTTATTACTTATAGATGCGCATTAGGGCCTCGATCCTGCAAAGATTCACGCTTGTAACTTTACCCAGATGGGTAGTCCAATTGACTTTGAACTTACATACGCATTAAGTTTTGCAGGGTTGGGGCCTAGGGATACACTTTAATACAATATAAAATACATTTGATTGGAAAATGTTAATACAATTAAAATAAAATAAATCCCTCTGGTTAGCCTAATATGATTTGATCTCTTGTAAGAATACACTGGTCTCTGATCTAAGCTATTCGTTATCCTTCCTTAGAGCCAAGAAGCATATCACATATGGAAATATATATATATATTTATTTCCATGTGACCTTGTCTCTTCATCCCACTGGCCCTATTGAAGAACCAAGGTTATTTTGTCGAGGGTTTTTTATTTTAGCAACACAGGCCTGGGAACCATTACAGCCATTTCATGTAGCATCAGAGTGTTTCTGAACTTGCATCCAAGTAGCAAATCTCTGAAATGCATCCTTGCACCACTGCTGTTCATTAACTCCTTGTGCTTGTTTTTAAATAGGCTGCAATGAAAGCTGTAGTCGCTTCGAGCCGTCTAGGTAACCACGGGCATCATGACAGCTCCAGAAATGGACGTACTCACGAAGGTACCAAAGAACCGTGCCTGGCTCAGGCAGCTGAGAACTCCTGTCTTCAAGACAATCCCGATAGCTCTTCCATGGCCAGCCGCCCAGAATCCAGCGCAACAGGTCCCTCAGCAAAGGCAGAGAACCTGGAAGCTTTCCAAAGTGATTGCCCTGCAGCTCCCAAGGTGGCGTTTAATGGGGCCAGCTGTGAAAGTTAATGTTATAAATATGGCTGCTGGCTCTTAACAACTTTAACTAAACAATATCCCATGACTCTTGGCCACAGCCGTATGGAGAGGAGTAGGCAGAAGAAGACCCAGCAATGGGAGGCGCATCTGAGAAATGATTGGAAACTGGGACTCTGAATAATATATAGCATGTAGTAGGTGTGCTTTGATAAGCACTTGGTCTCTCATGTGACGCATCCTTATTTAATGTCCTGTCTCCAGTACAATTGTAACTGGTGGCCGTCTATGTGGGTGTCTGTATGGACCAAGCTAGCAAGTCAAAGTTGGCAAGTTTAACTTTCAACAAACTGTTCATGGCCACCTTGTCTATGGCATATGAAAGAGGAGCAAACAGCAGATAGAGGCATTTTTACCATCCCTACAAAAGAAATTATGTTATCTTCATGACTTGTTTTGTAATTTAATGTAAATAATCCTCTTAGGTATATTTAATGAGGGAAGACAGTGAATCTATGTTATCTCTATTATTATTGTTGTTAAATCTTCGAGGCCCAACTGTGGGATATTTTAGGTAGGGTTGGTAGACACATCTGGACCTAGACATTTGATGCCATACAAAGAAATTGTGCTTGCCCTGTTTAATTTGTGCTTCAATTACACTCCAGTTTCAGTTGTTTTTAAGAAGTTCAGTCTTGTGCTACGGACAACAATGCAGATCACATGGTTCTTAATAGCAGAGGCCATTGGCCTTTGCATTTGCTTTCTAAGCGACAATTTACACAATTAATTCTAATGATGAACAATGCAAATATTTCTACTGAGCATCCTAAGACTTTGTTTGTAACATGCAAGAAGAGCTGTTGTTTCTGGGTATCCTGCGTTGAAGACAATGTCTTTGTACAGCATAATGTTGTTTCAGTTTTTTTAAGGTTATTGAAATCAACTGATAGAGTATTGGGGAAAAATCCCAGTTAGCTTTTTTTGGCGCAATTATACACCATACTGCTGGATAACCATTCAGAGGCATCAAATCAGTGAAAAGCAATTTTAGAAATATGTAAACTGTTTGGGACTATGAGTTGTCATTCAGTCAGATCACTCCCTATAGAGCCAGTCTCAAAACTTGTAAACTGGCATAGCTCCAGTTCAGTTACTGGATTAACACCACTGAGGAGCTGGCCCAATGTGTGCAACAATGGGCTCCTGGCAGAAAAATCTCCATCGAAAGTGATGGAAATGTGTAAATACGGTTCATTTTTGATACTTTGTATGTACAGTTCGGAATCTGATAACTAAGGGCTCACAAATAAAACTTACATTTACATTTAGCCTAAGCATTTAGTGTTGCTGATGCAAAATCTAAAAGGGGATAGAGAGCAAGTCAGAACTATAAAACAAAGTCAAATGGTTTTCAGATTTATTCACAGCACAAGTAGAAATTGGAAAGATTACACATAAGGGTTTATAAGGACATTTTTTTTATTTGAGTATGGAGCGTTTTGATGTGAAACAAAAAATATAGTGGGGAGAGATTAAGTCCTAGAGTTTTACTGATTGGAAAAGTATTAGTTCTAGGCTAGACAAGTACTCCTCTAATTAATATTTATTTCTTAGATGGGATAGCATGCATCTGCGGAGATGCGTTAGAAAGATATCAGTTTGGATGCAGAGAATTGTCTGGGAAGAATAGAATATGGGATCTTGAAAACAGCTGATGTCAAATTAATGCAGATTATATTGTTAAGGTGAGATCAATGACAGAATCTGAAAGGAAAACAGGGGTGTTTTTTTTAATGCATGTAGGGCTTGATTTCACAGAGTGCTGAACATGCTGGCCCTGATCTTGCAAAACTCTTAGGATTAAATCGTCTCCTCATCAAAGTCAATGGGAGTTTTGCCATTGATTTTAGTGGGGTCACGACTTCACCTTTAAACGTTGCTTTGCTTAATTGGACTTCAGTGGGGCCACAAATGCTTAAAGTTAAGCACAAGCTTAAATGTTTTACAGATCAGGACCAGAGTGCCTAGTGCACCCTGAAGGCTCAAGCCCATCACGCCAACATAGCCCATAAAGCTTAGGGTCCAACCCAGTGAATTGCTAAATAACTACTGGGTTGACTTCAATGGCAGTTGAGGGCGCTCTTTATTTTGCAGGATGAACTACAAAAAAAAAATGGATAGGCTGGGAACACTGAATAACAAAGGATATTGCAACGATAGAAGGAATCCAAGGGAAAATACTACGCAAAAATAAATAAATCTGTCATTTCAAAAAAGAATTATTCTGTAAATAATGATAGCTTAAAGGTAGAGAAAATGTACTCCCTGGAATAAACCTAAGTAGAACGTACAGCTTTGATCTGTAGATATGTGTTTTAATAATAATTTACAAATTCAATTAAGTGTTAACATTTTCAGTGTTATAGGCATTTATAAAAGTATCAATAAATATTAATCATTATAACACATGGATCCTTTGTGTTTACTGTTGAGCTGTCAGACAGAGGGGAAGGTTAGGGGATTGTGTTGCTCATCTGGTAGGGACAAATAATTCTCAGCTGATCTCGTTTTTACATGGTTGCCTGAATCCATCTTCACATAACAGACTTTCAGGCCTCAGGAAACTGAATACTACATCTAGGACCTAGGTTTTTAAGGGCTTCCATTGCCTGGCTTCTGTTTGACTGGAAGATAAAGGGACAAGATTCTCAGTCTGATTTTCCTTTACATGAAGGCTCCTTAGTGTAATAAGAATCTGTCCTTCCAAGTAGGCCATCTATTGCCCAAGTGGACCAAGTTAAGCCTGTATAGTCAAGGTCCAGACTAAAGAGAAAATAACAATAATGATAAGTAAATAAAAAGATTTCGGGGTCTGTTCAAAAATGTCTGGTGGTCCAGATTTGGCCCGTGGTCCACCTATCAACTACCCCTGTTCTAGGCTGTCATCCTGTTGAGAATGCCCTAAAATGTATGACTTTAGGCCCAGACCTGAAGAAGAGCTCTATGTAAGCTGGAAAGCTTCTCTTTCACCAATAGAAGTTGGTCCAGTAAGAGAGATTACCTCACCCATCTTGCCTCTCTAATATCTGGAGACCAGCACAGATATAGCAACACTCCAGTGATTTAGGCTTGACAAAGCAATGGCTCCCTAGGCTGTCTTTGTTTGTTTTTTTCATACTATAGTACACTTATAGATTTCCATTAAATCCCACTGCTGGATGGAGTGAACATTCTGAACTCTTTAAATGTAGGTTTATAAACCACTCATTCACTCTAAGGTTACCTCTGCTGGAATAACATGCCTAGTGAGTTCAGACATTAAACTGTTTAGGAACTCAAAACAAAAACTACCAACCAATAAAACAAAATCAGTGTAAACTTCAAGGGCCCATGGTAGCAAATGGCCTTTTGTTTTTCCAGGAGTGTCTCAAACTAAAATAGAGCCCCCACACTTACAGTCACGCTTCCCTCTGCCCCACTTGACTTGTTTGGTAGTTGGCTCTGATTGATGCTTTTGAGGATTGTAAAAGATATTTTTCCAAAACTGGGAATGAAGAAAGTGGATTCTGTGAAGATTGCAAAGGATGTAGTTAAGCAGAAAAGGGACTAGCTCAAGTTCTGGCTGGGGCACGATTACACAATGCAAGCCTAAGGGTTGGTTAGTGGGTTGGGCCCTTGTGGCTGCTCTAAGCAAGAGTAGCCTGGACTTCTGGCTATAGTCTGTTAATGACTAGAGCTAGTCAGGAAAATGTTGATTTGTCTAACCTGAAATGTTCTGTGGGAACGTATTGGGTTCGATGCACTTCTGATAAACCAGAAGCAGAATTCTGATGGAATCCTGCCAGCAGGGCCTGCTTTAGACCAATTCCCCCGAATTGGGCCCCGCGCCTAAGAGGGCCCCGTGCTCCGGGTTCTTCGGCGGCGGGTCCTTCACTCGCTCGGGGTCTTCAGCGACATTTCGGCAGCGGATCCTTCACTCGCTCTGGGTCTTCGGCAGCATTTCGGTGGCGGGTCCTTCACTCGCTCTGGGTCTTTGGCGGCATTTCAGCGGCGGGTCCTTCACTCGCTCCAGGTCTTCGGCGGCAGGTCTTTCAGTGCCGCCGAAGACTCAGAGCGAGTGAAGGACCCGCCGCCAAAGTGCCGCCAAAGACCCGGAGCGCCGCCGGGTGAGTCATCCCTGCTGGGGCCCTGTGGAAACTATTCAAATCGGGCCCCACACTTCCTAAAGCTGGCCCTGCCTGCCAGCTTGCCTGGGGAGCTTGGGCTTCCAAGGTCTGCAACTCCAAGGCAGTCCCTCCACATAGACTGCCACTGGGTCCAAACTCCCTGACATGGAGCTGGCAGCCTGGAAGTCCTGGGATGGGTTTCCAGGATCACTGGGGCAGTCCACATGTCAGAGCTGTTCCCCAGCCAAGGACCCTGGAAAAGCCTGGCTGAAATTGCTACACTGGAGCACAGGAATGGGTTACCTAGGGAGGTGGTGGAATCTCCTTCCTTAGAGGTTTTTAAGGTCAGGCTTGACGACAGAGCCGCCCGGGGTGGGACAAGTGGGGCAATTTGCCCCAGGCCCCACGAGCCCTGGCCGAGAATCCCTTCCCTGGCTAGAGGCGCCTTTTTAATTTTTACTTACCCGGCAGCAGTCCGGGTCTTCGGCGGCATTTCGGTGGCGGGCCCTTCACCCGCTCCGAGACTTCGGCGGCACTTCGGCGGCAGACCCTTCAGTCGCTCCAGGTCTTCAGTGGCATTTCGGCAACAGGTCCTTCAGTGCTGCCGAAGACACGGAGCGACTGAAGGACCCGCCGCCGCCGCAGACTCGGAGCGCCGCCCGGTGAGTACAAGCGCCGCAGCGGGTGGCGCCTTTTTTTATGTCCACGCCCCCGCTTTGCCCCAGGCCCCTTGAATCCTCTGGGTGGCCCTGCTTGACAAAGCCCTGGCTGGGATGATTTAGTTGGGGATTGGTCCTGCTTTGAGCAGGGGGTTGGACTAGATGACCTCCTGAGGTCCCTTCCAACCCTGATATTCTATGATTCTATGAAATTGACATGATTCTTGTCAGTTTCCTGGCCGCCCACCTCAATGGTGAAAAAAAAAGACCAATCTGGTCAGTTTCATGTGTCTGGGGAGGCATGAAACTGACAAGAACTGTGTCAGTTTCATGAGGCTAGTCCATGGGGAGGCATGAAACTGACCAGGATTGTGCCAATGTCAACCAGCTGTCAGGATCCCCCCCCAGCATATTTCATTGGGTCACGCCCAGACCGGCCGACATCACGCCCCCAGGTTGCTATGCCAACTCATGATGTCACAACAGCAGCCGCCTGGCAGCCCCTTGTCACGCAAGCCCCACGCCAGGCCCACACTGCGATACGGCCCGACGTGCTGACATCACAAACCATTCACGTCACCAACTTGGGGGGTGTGTGTGTGAGGTGGCCCCATCCCCAAGTCTAGTTCAGGTGGGGAGGGGGGGGGCCTCAAGGGGAAGCCGCCTTCTGATTGGCCGCCCGCGCTCCCCTGCCCCCAGGCCCTTTTGCGCGAGGTTGACAAAGTTACAACTCTCGCGCATGAGCGGGAGTCAAGGCGGCGCGGGGTGGGCGGGGCCGGGCCGGGCCGGGCGCGCGGAGACGCCGTTGGGGCGGAGCCAGAACGAGGCTAGGTATGGCGGAAGGGGCCGGAGGTCCGGGTCCTGCTATTGTTGACGCGCGGTGAGCGAAGGGGGCGGGGCCGGGCTGGGCGGCTGCGTGCGTAGAGCGCTGAGGTAACGGCGGGGGGGGGGGGGCTGCGCGCGGGGGGGGGGCATGGGGGGGGGTCTCCCGGGGCCGGGGGGGGGGGGGGGGGGGTGGGTGAGGTGGCGGGGGGGGGTAGCGCTCGGGCTCTCCCCTTAGAATGGGACCAGACAACTCCAGCCTTCCTCAGGGGGTGCCCCTGAGCACCCCCATTCCCCCCCTCACCCCCCCGCTGGGTCTCGCCCCCCTCAATGGGGGGCGCCTGAGGCATTGGGGGCTGGGGCCCTTCTGTAGCGGCGGGGTGGCTCACCCTACTCAGCTCTCCTCAGAGGGGGCGCGTGGGACCCCCCCCCCCCCCGGGTCCCCCCCCCCCCCGCCCTGACCCACACAAGGGGGGGTTGGGGGGGGGGCCCCCCCCTCCCCCTTTAAAGGGGGGGGGGCGGTGTGGGCCCCCCCCCCCCCCCCCCCCCCCCCCCCGGGGGGGGGGGTGAGACTTTAAAGCGCCCTCTTGTTTTCTTCCCCTCGCCCTCTGGGCTGTGTGACTTTTTTGCCTCTGCGTCCACTTTTCCACGTTCATTTTTCTGGGGTGGGTTGGCACGTGGGGGCTGCACTTTAGCAGGCCGCCTTGCCCTGTCTCTTCTGCGTTGGAACTCGTGATGGCTCAAGGTTTGGGGGTGCCAGATACTGTCCTGCTCTCTCGTTTTGCACATGCCCGTCTGGCACTGATGAGGTATATTTTTGTTGACTGGTGGAATGAGCCTTTTTCTGGGCAGTAGCCCCACGTTTCCCGAAGCAGGTTTTTGGAGCGAGTTAAACGTAACTTGAGTGCAACAAAACTAATGCAAGCTGAATAAAATAGTAAGTGGGCATGTGTGGATCATTCTGAGCTAGGGACTAAAGTGGACCGTACTGGGGACTAAAAGTAGGGCAATATTTCTGCACTAACGTAACTTATGTAGCAATGATAATTATACCTTTATATTGTTTTTATTATTCTTGCTAAAACAAAGTTATTTATTTAGCACTAGCAATGTGTCTGTCTGTGTTTGAGAGGTAGGAAATGGGATGTAATCTGTATCCAAAGTACAAAATTGTCTGGAGGAACATGGAACACAAAATACAAGGGAGGGAAAAAGTTATTTGTAAATATCTCCTGTTTCGGATTGCAATCGTAAGTGTTTGTCCTGATGCAAACAAGGTGACAAGTATGGACTCTTAAGTTTTACATTTCAGTACAGTAATTACACTTTAATTTTCACTTAACTTTTCATATGTAGGACCAAAAAACAAGACTTCATGTAATTAAGTCTTCAGCCTTGTAAGTACATGAAGCTTTTTTGGCTCTTAATATGTAATTCATTGACTTTTTCAGGTCTCTAACAAACATGTAAAATATTCAGAATCTGAAAAATTCACATTCTCTAAATAAGCCTCAAAAAGGGTTGCCACGTTTGGCATAAGTTACAGGATGTGACAATTCACCTACATAAACCTGGGACGCACTTACTTTTCAATGCTATAAATTAGACTCTTTGGGTATTTTGTAGAAACATTGGTTATCAGAATTTGGTAAAAAGTGAATGTTATATCCTTTCCAACTAGCTCAGTGGGCAAACTAGACAAGTACATTAGTCCCCTCGAGCAGGCACTAGACTGCAATGATGATTGAAATATTAGTTTATTCTCATTTGTAGGTTCACTTTATTCACTAGATTTCGCAATACAACAGGACCACTCAAGCAACCTGAAACACATTGGTGGTGTGTTGCACTAGCCTAGAATGATTTGCACTTCGTGCATTAGTATTAATAGCTATCCTTGATAATGCTGGGCTGCGTATGTACAAAACAATATGGGAGAAATTAACAGAAATTTATAATATTAAATAAGCAATAATTATGTAGTATTAAATTGTTTTGAGATATTGCATAACTCTTATTTCATAAGGTAAATTGAGTTGTAAAAAGACTGTTACACTTAGAGGTCCCATGTAATATCAGTTTTGTTTCAGAATACGCTGGGCCTTAGTTACCTTGCTCATCCTACATGAAGCACAATCATGACAGATCAAGAATATATCCTATGCAAATGGAAGAACCGTTTATGGCCAGCAAAGGTGAGAGCATTATGGTACCATTTAAATAGGTATAGGAATGAGGAGAAACTTTGTGGAGGTTCCCTCCCATCCTCTTCAAGATATCAGGAAAAGATAGGGAGTGTGGGAGAGGTATGCGTCATATGATATGTGATCAAAAGCCAAGAAACTTATTCTCCTTGAAACTTCCTATTTGGAGACAACACCAGAAATGAATTACGTAGGCCAAAAAAATTGGAATTATTGACAGGGACAAATCTTATTTAGAAATTATGATTTCCAAGTAAACATGATGTTGATGATTTGTGTTTTGCTAGCATCTAGGAACCCCAATCCTGGACTTATGTATATGGACCCATTATATTAAATGATGCACAAACAGAGCCTCCTGCCCCACACAACTTACAATCTAAGTACACCGCTACCTTGATATAACGCCACCCGATATAACACGAATTTGGATATAACGCGGTAAAGCAGTGCTCCGGGGGGGCAGGGCTGCGTACTCCGGTGGATCAAAGCAAGTTCAATATAACGTGGTTTCACCTATAACGCGGTAAGATTTTTTTGGCTCCCGAGGACAGCGTTATATCGAGGTAGAGGTGTATAAAATGAGAGAAGAGATGGATACAGACAGATGGGGGCATACAAGGAAGCAACGAGACAGTATCTGTCCGCATGATAGGCAGTGATCTTAGCACTCCAGCAGCCTACCTGTTGTCAGTTTTTTTCTGTTCCTCACAACAAAGGAGAGTTTTGAAAGAAAATGAGTTAGTTTTGCAAATATTTCCAGGGAGCTTCTCCCAAGCATGAGGGGAAGCATCAGCAGAAGCATGAAGGTGCTTGTTTGAAAACTTAGCAAATGGGTGATAGAAACTGACCTCGTGGGCCAAGCAGAGGCAGGAGTCTACTTTAATACTGAATGAGAGATGGCAGGTAGAGTGGGGATAGGTCAGGACGGACTTTAAAATGACAAAAAGTAGTTTGTTTGATATGATGGCAAAGAGGGAGCTAGGGAAGTGTTTCTAATTAAGGATGATCCCATACTGTCGGCAGATTTGTCTTGAATGTTCGCTGGATGACAAGGAGTTGAAGCCAAATGTAAGCTGTAATAGATAAGACAGAGGGTTTCCCCGCTTATGTGGGAGATGCAGCCTCATTCCCTGTCATACTTTTAAAAAATCCTTGTATTGAGGGAAGATAACTTTTATATTAACCTAATGTAAAGTCAATAAGGTCTGCTTGATGTAAAGTATCACTTTACTTACCACTTTCCTGCTTAAACAAGTGAAACACTTGGTTTTGTCACAGTGCATTTTGTTAAATGTATTCATAAGCATGTTCCCAGTTTAATTCTCCAACTGTTCTCCTTAGTTTCTTATCGTTCCTGGGAGGTAGTTTAACACAAGATAAGGATGTACTTATCTGTGCCATATTCTTCATTCCTGTTATTTCCTTTATAATTTGTCTGTCTTCTTTTCCTCAACTCCTTTTCACTTCCTTTGCATAATTTTTTCCGGTACACTTTAGCTTCCTTTATACTAAATTTTCACTTACTGTTCCCTGTTTCTTCTGCAAGGCAACCAGAAAGAGCATCAGTCATCCAAAACATTGTACACCTCTACCTCAATATAACACTGTCCTCGGGAGCCAAAAAATCTTACCGCATTATATTGAACTTGCTTTGATTCACCGGAGTGCGCAGCCCCGCCCCCCCGGAGCACTGTTTTACCGCGTTATATCCGAATTCGTGTTATATCGGGTCGCGTTATATCGAGGTAGCGGTGTACTTGCTATTTTGAAACACAAGCCACCTGGACTAGATGGGAGTTCTTAATGGAAAAGGTCCCTCATGCACAGTTATGTTTTCATTGTAAGATGCTTGTTTTGTTAGTAAACTAGAAGTTTTGTAATTTGAATTTATTTAGGAGATTTTAATTTATCCTAAAAGAATCGTAATTTGCATTTACAAATAATAATGCTTTATATTTCCTAGTGCAAATGGGTAGTTTATTTTAGGAAAACTAGAGATCTTTATTGGTTCCCTGTATTTTAGTAGATTTGGATATAAGTATCAGAAGGGTGCTCATAAGATATATCATTCTTAACCTATATTCAACAAAAGAGATCTTAATTTGTTCCAAGCATAGTTAATCTACTTTGCTGTGTGTTTTGCTCCTGTTATATCAAGTTTTGCAGGAACTGTGTATGTGCCAAAATAAAGACACTAAGTTGCCACCAGGGTGAACGTGATATAAATACCCACATAAATGCAAAATTTGTTTTGCACGTTGTCTATTTAAAGTTTCATTGGGCATAGGCAAGGGTAGGGGGAAAGGAATAACAGCACTATTACATTAGCAACAGTATTCTGTTAAATGGTTTCTTATATTCGCAAGATGCTCCAGAGCTATTCACTTCAGATTTCATTCAACAGCATGATGCAAAACAAAATGAGATTTGGGACAATCTGGAAGAGAAGTTGGCACCATGAATATCGAGCACACTTTTGTGTTGATCTGCTGCAGAAAAGATCAGACTAAAATAATGTAACAAAATATTCTAAATCAGAGAAAGCAAGTACACTTATTGATGTTCTTAAACTTAATTAGTTTGATTGCTCAATCCAAGTCTCTCGCCTTCCATGGGTTAGTTGTGGGAGGGCAATTTTCTCTGTAGCATAGCTGAAATTTCTTTCCAGGCTGACACACACACATACTATTTTTGTTTGAAAGTGGTTCAGATTCTCTGGGCAGGTTGGAAAGTAAATTGGTTCTGTTTATTTTCAGGTCAGCAAGTGTGAGAAATAACAAGAATAGAAAAAAGCCTTCAGATTAGAAACATGAAACTCTGTGGCCTTTTGGCTCTGTTAAAGGTTATATCCTGCTAGGGGACAGACTTGATTGAATAGAATCTCTTCTATCCCTACCTTCTGTAAAATTAGTTTTCTTAAAATAGCCTCTTACAACAATCATGGAATGTTTGTTTCCATGGAGTGATATGGCATCTTCTCAGACCCGCTGTATAAAAGTCACAGGTAAATATATAAACACTAGCAAATGCTCCTTTAAAAAAAACAGTTACAGTTTGAGGAAATGTTGTATGTTTTGACTAAAAGCTAACACTGATTTTTTTTGTGTGTGTGTGGGGGGTACTTTCCAAGGTTTCAGGGACATTAGTGTGCATAGGTGGTGCTGTTCTGTTAATAGTTTGATATGCAAATAATATGTTAAATTATCTGAGGAGGGGGAATACTTAATTTTAAGATGGTTTCCATTGCATATCCCAGATCCAATATAGCTAGGACTAGGCTTTTCCTTACAACGTAGCTTTCTGAGTTTCTCCTCAGGCCTTCACTTGGGCTGCATGCTGTATGACATCTTTACTCTTATGAGCATTGTGTGCATGGCTGTAAAAATTATACTTTTTCTTCATTTAGGTTTTATACAAAAACAGAACTTCCAGAAGACCAATTGTTTCTAAAGCAAAAGCAGTCTCTTTCAAAGTTGAAATACTCGGTCTGGAAGAACAGTTAAGTACCCTTTTCATTAATCGTCTTATATTTAAGAATGCAAATGTGTGGCAAACATGCTGAAATCATTCATTCTTGAAGCTGTCTCTAAAACCAGATTAATTGATTTCTGAAGTGTCTTGTTGGCTAACCAGAATTTTGTGTGACAGTTTTTAAATGCATAAAATCTTATGACTGAACAATTGTACTAATATGCCATTCTTAAACTGTTCTAGGCTTTGATTTGAAACCTGTTTCATGGTCATTAAAAGTAGCAAAGCCTCCTGGTATTTCAGAAGGCAAAAGATAACATTTCTTTTTTGATTACTATACTTCCGTATACATGTAATTATTGAAATATTTTAGATAGTGGACTTGATATCTTCCACCTTACCAGTCAACCTCTTGATTTTATTATTGTCCTTACTGTCCATACTAACCAGCAAGTTGCAATGTTTTTCTCTCAATATGGCAGTTGATTTGTGCTATTCAAAATACTGAGGAAAAGGTATTGATTTCCTATTGTCTAAAGAAAACGAGACTTCTAAAACAATGTAATGTCATTACTAATTTAAGACTTGAACAATTTTACTGTTCTTTCAGGACTAATGTGAACTGTACGGACACGGAGCCTTTGGAGGAGGAGCGCATAAAAATCATTGCCTCTGAATTAGGTGGGATACTTTACTTTACATGGGTGGTAGAAAAGGAAGAAATAGGTGGGGGAGTATCTAAATACCTGACTCATTCGTTTCCCTGGGAGGCTTCCAAAAATAGTCTCCATGTGGATACATGAAACATCACAAACAGCTGCCTCTGATGTTCCCCAAATATGCCATCTCTGTAATGTGATACCAATATGTACTGAGGAGTGACTTCTGTGCAAGCCATGTAACAGTTATTTTTTTTTAAAAGCATATTTAGTAGTAAGACTGTCACCTAACTCCCCTGTTAAGTTATTTGTAGTTTGGAAATGGTGTGTGAAGCAACACAGATATGTAAACTTTATTCTTAAAGGCATGAGGACAAATGGGAGTCAGCAGGTCCTGAGTTCTGATTATGGCTCTGCCACTGATTTGCTATATTGCCTTGGGCAAAGCTGCTTCATTTTTCTGTCTCCAGGTTCAATGACTGGAAAAGATGTCTTAGACTTGAAGAAGCTCAGGCCAGGTGTACACTAAAAACTGTTGCCAGCATAGCTATGTCGGTCAGGGGTCTGATGAGGTATGACTGATGTCGCTCTGCTGTCAAAAGCCCCTACCGTAGATGCAGTTTTTGCTGGTATACCTTATTTTGTTTAGGAGGCCTGGTATAAGTTATACTGGCAAAAGTGCAGTTTTCCCAATATAAATTGCATCCATGCTAGAGTGCTTTGCTGCTGTAGTATATCAGTATCACATTCATCTGACGAAGTGGGTATTCACCCACGAAAGCTTATGCTCCAATACGTCTGTTAGTCTATAAGGTGCCACAGGACTCTCTGTCGCTTTTTACAGATCCAGACTAACATGCTACCCCTCTGATACTTAGTAGCACTATACTGGCAAATCCTTCCAAGTGTAGGCCTGGCCTCAGTCTATTTAGTTTATCCAAGAGAAGGTTAAGAGGTGATTTGTTCAGTCTACCAATACTTATATGGGGAAGAGACTTCTGATAGTAAAGGGCACTTTAGTATAGCAGGAGAAGGCATAATGGGATCCAGTGGTTGGAAGCTGAAACTAGACAAATTCAGATAAGAAACAAGGTGCATATTTTTAACAGTGAGGGTAATTCACCGTTGGAACACCTTACCTAGGGATGTTGTGGAGTCTTCATAATCTGAAGTCTTTAAATCAGGACTGGGTATCTTTAGGAAAGAGATGCTATATCAGGGGTGGCCAACCTGTGGCTCCGGTGCCACGTTCGGCTCTTCAGAAGTTAATATGCAGCTCCTTGTATAGGCACCGACTCCGGGTCTGGAGCTACAGGCACCAACTTTTCAATGTGCCAGGGGGGTGCTCACTGCTCAACCCCTGGCTCTGCCACAGGCCCTGCCCCCACTCCACCCCTCCTCTGAGTCTGCTGTGCCCTCGCTTCCCCCCACCCATCTCCAGCCCGCCATGAAACAGCTGATTGGGAAGTGGGAGGGAGGGAGGGAGAGGCGCTGATTGGCGGGGCTGCCAGGGGGCAGGAGGCGCTGGGAGCCAGGGAAGGGAAGCAGATGGGGGGCTGCTGACATATTACTGTGGCTCTTTGGCAATGTACATTGGTAAATTCTCGCTCCTTCTCAGGCTCAGGTTGGCCACCCCTGTGCTATATAGCTTAACAAAAGTTATGGCCTTGATGCACAGTTTACTGGGTGAGGTTCTTTGGCCTGTGTTACGCAGGAGATCAGACTAGAAGAGTGTTGTAATAGTCTCTTCTGACCTTAATGCCTGTGAATCATTTTCCTTATGGGTTTCCAGCTTGCTTCAATTAGTTGGTATCTCAAATCTGCATGTGGAAAATGGTCTGTTGACCATTTTGGTAGCAGTTTAGTTATATGCTCTTTTATTCACTTTTGCTCTTCCTTCCCCTGTGCTAGGCCTTCCGTGCTGCACTGAGGGAGGCTTAACGGAGAATCTTGGCCAGGATGTGTTTTAACCTGTACAAGTCTCTTTAAAATTTATAATCAGAGAGAAGCATGAGCCTTTTTGTTAGCATTTCCTTTCTGCCTTTAAAAAACGAATGGTGCTTTTTGCCATGCATTCTGTGATGCACTGTGCAAGAGGTACTATAAAAACAGTACCTTATATTTTTAATACACAAAGGAAAAGTAGTCATAACTTCTTGCATGCCTCTTTCAACAGACCAGAGGAATAAACCTAGTCACCCTGTGGAAGAACTGAAGTATCGGAAAGCTCTTAAAATCGCTCTAGATATTTTGAGTGCCTCTCCGAAACAAGTAAGACCTTCAGATGAGGGACGAACTACTCGATCAGCCCAGAAAGAAAATAAAACAAGAACTTCATTATCTCCTCCTGTGACTAGGTGTCCAATATCTTCCCCAAAAATAAAATTGGAAGGGGGTGAGACCTTGAAGGAAAAAAAGAAACAAAAGACAGCCAGTCCACAAACTGATACAGAAAAAAACAAACGAAAATGTCGGCTCAGTTCCAAGGAGACAGCTAAAACCCGTGGAAACAGAACAAATTCTTTAGTATCTAAATCTGGGGACTTTTCTAGCACATGGAAGTCAGAAAGCCAGCATTGCAAGACAGCTAAATCAAAACTAAAAACATTAACTCAACAGAAAAAAGTAAAATCCAAATTGTTGCCAAAGTCCAAAACAGGAAAAAGCTCATCGCTTTTGCTAAAAGAGAATGAGAAAAGTAAGAAAGGAAGAAAGAGACCAAGAGATGCAAGCGAATCCTCATCTCCGAGCACTAAATCCCCAGATGATACAGCACGTGTTTTTGTTAGAGAGAGTACCCCAGTATCTGCCTCCTGCAATTCTACTATGTTAATATCTGCTGGAAAAAGGCCAAATGTTAGGGGTTTGCCCAAAAAGAGATTACTGGATTTTTCTATTACAAGTACCTCACCTGAATTAGAGAGTAACAGCAGTGAAGAGAGAGACACTCCAGCAAGGAAATATAAAATGTTAGATGGGAGCAAAAAGCCAGTGAATTCAAAGTGTGTTAGCTGGAAACAAAAGACTACTGCAGTGTCACCTCTGCACAGAAAAGGGGGATGCATAAGTGGCCCTGAACCTTTATCTGGGGCTTCTCAACACAAAAATTATTCTGATAGCCCTCTTTCTGAGTTTAAAAAAGAGGAGAATAAGGATACTTCATACAGTCCTGTGAATAAAACTAAAAACTGTCAGCTACCTGATTTTGACGAAGACGAAGAAGGTAAAGTATTTCAGTGGGGGAACTAGGACTTTTATGCCATTTGATGTTCAAATATTGCTTATCTATTATTGTGGGAAGTTGCAATATCTTGAGGAAGGTGTTCTCTGAATACTCATTTTATACTAAAGTCCATCATGGCCAGTCCCTCTATCTGACATGTTTTGTTTTGTTTTGTTGCCCTGAAATTTAAATGTGGAAACAGTTCAGTCATATTGGCTAGAAGGAAGATATTTCCCTGTTGGGGAAATTTCAGAATTGCTTAGTGAGATGGACAATTCAACACTTTCTCCATTCCAACAATGCTTTGGATTGAAAGTTAGGATACAGAATCATTTACCAGTACTAGATGTGATTTTACTAAATTTTATTTTTGTTTTTTATTAAACTCTTTATTTAGGAAGTTTTTGCAACTCCTATCCATGTAAATATCCGACACAATACAATAATCATTACAACAATGAGCTTTTGTTTAGAGAAACGTTGTACAGTGGTATAATCATTGGCTCTCTCTATTAACAAGATGTTAGTGTGTGACAATGAGCATCTTTACAGTACCCATGACATGTCATTTCTGCTTTACTAAATGTTTTAACTTTTTGTGCAGTGCCAGATTATTATCTGACTATTTTGCAGTTCAATGTTACTAAGAAATATAGTGGGAACTTGCAAACCTTCCATTAATTGGTAGGATTTTTACTGCTCTTCAGCGTTCTGATAGTAACTGATAAGTTTCTTAGCACACTTTTTAGAGGTTCTGGTTCCTTCGCTGAACAATTCACATGAAAATCGCACAAGCTTGTATTTTAATGCCTTGTCGATTCCTACTGTAATTCTCCAGTGTTAATTCTTGACTTCAGTCTCCTTCATCGTTTGACCTCGGCTCGATGTTTTGATGTTTTACTATTTGAATATCTACAGTTTCTACATCCATTGACAAGTGTATTGTTATAAGGAGGCAGATAATCTTTGGCAATACTTGTAGTTTGAGCAGTCAATTTCACACCTTGTCTCTCTTACCACTCTTTTAGATCTTATTTTGATTTCCTTTTTTCCAAAATTCACTGTTCTAAAGAGCGTTAATTGTTCTTGCTAATTTGTTCTATTTCTAATTACGAAGTCAGTTAAATTAGTAACAAGTGTTTAGATGCTTCCTTTCCACTACATTTTTTTTTCATAGACTTGAGTCTTAATCAAAGCCAAGCCATAGCTTGCTGCTTTCTTTATTTGTGCAAAGAAGCAGGCTAGTACCATATCTACAAATATATTCTTATTTCTCTTCAGTGTGTGGGTCAACACTGAACTGCTTATTTATGGATTAATCTGTATAGATCCTGTTGTGTGGCTTAGTGGAATCATATGATGCAGACAAGTAGCCACCTCACGGCATCCCCTGATGGCCTCATGGCAGCCCAACATGCAGTCCCTCACCTCAGTTTCCCTTCTTGGATCCCTAGATAAACTCCGCACAAGGTTTTTCCAGTCTGGTTGCCACTGCCTTCTGTAGGGTTTAATTTATTAACTTAAAGTTCAAAACTAAATGCAAAAGTCGCCTCTCCAGCCTTTATCTGGTTACAGCCAAAACTCCCCTGGTCTGGTCAGAGTCCCCTCTGCCTTTGCAGGCTACTCCCAGTTCTTCCTAGCTGGAGCAATTCCCTTGGGCTCAGGGTCTTCCCTGCAGGAGCTCCTCTGCAGTCTTCTGAGCTTCCCCCTGACTGCAGCCACCTTCTGCCCTTCATATGGAATTGCCTTATTCCCCTCAGGTAGGACTCGTGTAATCAGGGTTGGTTTGGCCCCAGGCTCTCCAGCCCAAGGGCAAGCCACCCTTTAAAATATGGCTAAATACCTGTCAACTAATGCGTGTGCATCATTTCATATTTGAATAATTATTTCTCCAGTACTCAAGACTGCTACTTGCTTGTCTGTCTAAAATGTATTGTATTATTTCCTTCAATTCAGGCAGCCCATGCAACCTTTTGACTTTCTTCCTTTCTCTGAGTCATAAGGATTCTACCCTAGCAGAAGTCTCTCCCCTTCCCCTTTTTTTTTTTCTTTTAAAAGATCCTTGTTGTTTCCAGACACTTATCTACAGAAGTCTGCTCCTCTCCCCTTCCTAATTTCTTAAGCACTTAACTCAATATTCACTGGCAAGATTCTGATTTTACACCAGGGTAAGTTTGAAGTAACTCCATTAAAATCAAATGGAGTTGTCAGTGTGCCTAGGTTAGAATGCGCAATGGCAAATTGTCATAGCTTAATAGATGTAATGAACTCAGTAATTCAAAATACTATTGGGATATTTTTCAAATTAAGATACCTCGCATGACCAGAAAAAAATATGATAAAACAATTCTTCTCACTTCACTGACAGGATTGGAATCCTCTGATCTGTCTTTGAAGTTTAGCTCTCCAGGAGATATCTCTCTCGATACAACTTTGGTAGATGAGGCGGAAGAAGAGGAAGATGAAGAACTTCCTAGTATTCTTTTACGTCAAGGTAAGAAGAGACTGTAACTATTTCTTTGAGCCTTAGAGTCATTGAAGACTTAAATATGATTTAGACTTTGTTTACTAATAGCTTGGTAACAAACAAATGTTTTTATTCATTAGACTTGTTCTTGTTAGAAACTGTGAATGTTGTTTTGTTCATTTGAGTGTGGCAACATGTTCATGCACAGCTCTAGAAGCTGCATGCAAACTCCTCTTAAAGGAATATCTTCAGGCCATGCTGTCTTACCTCTCTGCTCCCAGAAATATGGGCTTCTTTCAGGCCTCTGACAGTCAATTCCTTTTACCAGTACTAGAGTAGTCTTTGGAAAGAGCTGCTATGATGTGATAACACTTGTCTTTCTTCCCTCTCACTCCAGGTGTGGGCGAATGTCAGGGGATGTGTATGCTATCCATAGGGCTGGCCCACAACATTTTGGCACCTATGCTACCCCCATACCCCCTTGCTTGGGCCAAAAATTTGAAAGGTCTCAATTCTGCCTTCTTCCTGTTCTTCTCTCCTGGTACTGCTCTGCTACCTACCCCAATAAAAGAGAACTAACAACTTAAAATGCCTTGTTCAAAAATTTTAAGTAACACTTAACTTTCAAACACCTGAACAGCAAATGTAACTTTTCTTGTCTGCATAGTAAACACTGGCATTTTTATCTATTTGAATAATCAAATTGGTGCTTTCCATGCCTTCCTGGTTGCAAAGATTTGAACTGCTTCCTGAAGGTCCACAGTCTGGGCCAGCTCATGCTCTATTGAGATGGTTGCAAGGCCAACCAGCCTCTCCTGTGTCATTGTGGAGCATAGATGTGTTTTTGTTAACTTCAGCTTGGAGAAGCTGCGTTCTCCACTGGCAGCTGTTACAGGAAGTGTTAGAAGTATGCGCAGAGCAACAAAAGCATTTGGAAAGAGGGTGGTCATCTTATTTGTGCACATATATTCCAGAACAGCCTTTGGAGTTGATCCTGCTGAAATGTATCTTGAAAGGGTTTTCAGGTCATCACCTAAATCACTTGCATCAATATCGCGCATGTCATCATGTGTCAACACTGTCTCTAGTGCCCTGCATTGCTGGTGTAGGTCTTCTTCAGGTATAGTGAGGAGCTTTGGAATATCATACAACATCCCAAACATACTGCCTCCACTCAACTTTCCCATTGTGTGGCACTCGGTGGTTTCAGTGTCAGAGAGAATGTTCCCAGATGTTGCTTCAGAATTTGCCATCAATGAGTTGATGCAGAGAAAAATACATAGATGCTTTGAATTACATTTAAAAAATTCAGCAGCTTCACTAGAAGCTGACGCTGCATCACTGACCCACCAAGTTCAATGAATGAGAACTGCATGAGACAAAAAAAGCTCGAGGGTTTAACTCTCGGATCCATGTCTGCACTCCTCTGTTCTTTCCTCTCATGTTGGCACCATTATCGTAACCCTGACCTCTCATGTCCGCTATCGCAATTCCCATATCTTCCAGCTTTTTAAGAAGCACATTTGTCATACCAGCTCTTGTTGTACATCAATGTCAATACATTTTAGAAAATGCTCTCTGACAGTCACCATTGCAGGGACATTTTCACTAGGTTCTGTTGTTGTTACAAAACGCACCATTAAAGTCATTTGTTCCATATGGCTGATGTCAGGTGTGCAGTCCAGAATAACAGAGTAATATTTTGCTGACTTCAGATCTGCCACAATCTTCTGTTTGACTTTTGTTGCCAGTAACTGTATGATCTCATTTTGAATTGTTTTTCCAAGGTAGTGATGTGTGTATGTTCTTGGGTGGTGACTCTTCTTAGATGCTCCTGGAGTACAGCATCAAACTCCGCCATCAGCTCCACAATTTTAAGGAAGTTTCCATTGTTTAGCACATACATCCGATCTGAAGTGCCACGCAGTGCTAGGTTTTGTGTAGCAAGCATTCTCACAATGGCAATGAGCCTTTTCAGAACATTTTGCCAGTAAAGAGAGACTGATGCAATCTTCTCTTGATGTTGATCATCTATGGTGGCCTTTAACCTTAGTCTCATCTCAAGCTCTTTCCACCTATGGAATGCTCTCTGGTGATTTGCTGCCTTCTCATGGCATGCCAGATTTCTAGACAGATTTTTCAGGTCCTTTGTTCCTGTAGAACCCAATGTGGTTGGAACATTAGACTGGAAGAGTTTGCAACAAAAACAGTATACAGCATTCTGGGTTTTTGAGTACATAAGCCATGGCCTCTCCACTTTGTCACCATTGGGGATTTCACGCCAGTAATGTGTTGGGTGGAAACTTCTATTTTCATTGTCTTTGGGGAACATGAAGTTTTTCACTTGCTGTGGCCCATGCAGTACAAGTCCCTCAGGCTACTGCTCAAGTGGGTCCACAGTCCTGGATCATCTAGACTTAAGGAACTAAACTCAGCAGCAGCTGTTTCTTGCGTCTCCACCACACTCTTCTCTGATCTACACTTTTCTTCAGGAATGTGCCTGGTTACATCCATTTGAGATGGAGATATGGATGCTGCAGTAGCTGCCAGGTCACATGCACTCTGACTAACTGGACGATCAGGCATCTCCTCACCACTCACATCCTCACTGGGGCTGGCAGGCTCGTCGTGAACATTTGTGTCTATTATCTCAGGAGAGTTCCTTCCTGCTTAGATAGAAAAGCTTCCTTTGCTTGCTTTCTTTCTGAATGCTGCCCCGGAGGGGCATTTTCTTCTTTCACTCATGACTGTTGTTCTGTGACAGCTATAGTGGCTCTCAACACTCAATTGAAGGGGGCAAATAAGCAGGCTGGTAGCAGGACCTGAATGAGGGAAGATATCAGTGTCTTAAGGGTCTAACTGGCTCCTACTACTTCAGTTGACTGCCTGTTCTCCTCAAGTGGGTTCAGGGAAGCAGCAGGAAACAGGAAGCTCCCTGAGAAGCTGGTGTTAATCAGTCCAGGCTCCTGGGGGTGCTAGAGAGGTACATCAGAGGCTCCTCCTCCTCTCTCTCCCTGCAGCTCCTGCTGCTTTTTGTTATTTCCTCTCGCCTTTTCTCCTGCCTGCCTGTTATGTCTCTTGTGCCCTCCTTCCTCCAGCACAGCACTCTACCATCTCGGTGCATCTAGAGCAGAGAGAATACATATGCACCAGCAGCAGACACAATTTTCTACACTCTGGGTTCTAGTGCGCCCCACCCCCACCCTGTCTGACACCTGAGGCAGCCACCTCAGTTCGCCTCATGGTAAGGCCAGCCCTGGCTATTCAGTCCCAACATGGAACTAGAAGTATCCACTTTGCACCCTGTCACACCACTCTTGCTTCCCTCTAGGCATAGTTCACAAAAACTTCTATCCTTGTCTCTTTGGCTCCTTCATTCACCTTCACCAAATCTTTTTCTCTGTCTGATCCATGTTGGAGGACACTCCAAAAAGTTGTTATGCCATTATGTAAATCAATGGTGCACTCTCCTCTTGAATACTATGTGTGGTACTTGTTACCCTATCTTACTGATGATGAGAATGATTAGGCCATGTAAAAAACTCTTGTACAAATAGAGATGGAAAAGATTGGGCTGGTTTACCTTAAAAAAGGGATAATGACAAAAGGACATGGTGATAACATACAGAATAATGACTAGTGTAGAGACTAGCTTAGGAGCATCTGTTCTCCTTGTCTCATAACACAGGAACAAGGGAACAGCTAATGAAACTGAAATATAACAAATTCATATCCAATAAAAGGACTTTTTCCCCACAGAACACATAATTAGACTGTGGAACTTGTTGCCACAGAATGTTGATGAGGCCAAAAAAATTACCAAGATCCCAAGAGGGATTGCACTTATCTGGATAACAATACTATCCAGGATTGTTATAGTTAATGCTGATAGTGTCTTAAGGCCTGCCACTAATCTCTAGCTATTAGGGATTGGGTTGAGATTGTCATAGAGGGCAGATTATTTCACATTTGCCAGCTGCAGGGTTGCTTGCATGTTCCTCTGAAGCGTCTGGCACTGGCCACTGTTGGAGAGGACACTGGACTAGATGGACCATGAGTTTGATCCAGTGTTCCTAGGAGACTAATGGAGATACTGAGATTGTAAGATCTCTGGGGCAGGGACAGTCATCTTATGTATTGGGACCCTGTTTCTTAGCGTAACTTGAGGTTGTAGTTCAGGGACCTTGTCTTATTTGTTTGAACATCAATGATGCTATGTAAATATTACACTTGTCTAATTATGTAGTCCAACTAACTTTTATTTTTGTGCTGTAGAACCATGTTCAATTGAACCAGGGATGTTGGTCTGGTGCAAATTGCGAAGATATCCATATTGGCCAGCAGTGGTAAGTACAGCACCTTACTACTTTTTTGAAAATGGGATCCAAGGGTCTGATTCTGAAATCCTGTATGGCTGTATTGAATATCTTCAGCCCTCACTGACTTCAGGATAAGCTGAGAACACTCAGCACTCTTCCCTGTGTTGTTACTTACATTGGTTCAAAATCTTTGAACAACATTTAAAAACAACGGCTACCTGAAAGCAGGATAGATGTTTGCTTTCCCATGGCAAGGTGTGCAGTGCCGATCTGAGCTTGCTAGATGAACTGTGAAGGATTTTTATGCACAGAGCCCACCCAAAAGGCATTTTAAAGGTTTTTACTTTTTCTTTTGATTTTTACTTTTTAAAATATCAGGAAGTTCAATGTGTAGACTTCTCTAGTTTAGCTGGAAGAATATCTTTTGGGGGGGGGGTGTGTGGAGAAAGGTATGTCTCAAATGTCTTATTAGTGCTTACTTCCACTGAAAAACGAGGTTTTTTTGGACAAAAAATGTCTCTATTATAGATTCAAAGTGCTATTTAGGCATTTGAATTAAATATTTTTTAATGAAAAACAACCCACTCCCCAAAGCTTTATCCCCCTGATTAAAAATCAGTGCCTTGCTAAATTGCTCATCTGTCTTGATTCTTGTGATGTTTCCCTCATTCTCTAATCACTGTAATATTTTGGGGGTAAAGAGAACCTGTATTTTGGATGTAAAAAACGAGCAGGGGCAAAAAATGTGTTTTTGTGAAATCTCTTGACATAATCTTTAAACCCTATAAAGTAGAAAAAAGGGCACAAGCCCAATATTTTTCCTTTTCAGACATCACTGGGAACTCATCAGTCACCTTTAAGAGACAGATGTTAAGGATGACATGCTTGTTGAAGTGTGTAGCTGCAAGTCTAGGGTGACCAGATGTCAAGTGTGAAAAATCGGGACGGGGTTTGGGAGTAATAGGTGCCTATATAAGAAATCCCAACTTTCCCTATAAAATTGGGACATCTGGTCACCCTATACAAGTCTGGTGTCTAAAGATAGAGCACTTGCTACAGATTCCAGTGTAGAAGGTGATAATCACTCAGAGAGCTTTCTAATACATAATAAATTCTCCATTAAAACCCATTCTATTAGGTAGTAAAATCTCATGAGTTCCTCCTTATTCATTGCATTGTATTATGTTGCTACCTGTCAGAACAGCCAGCAAAGTGGTCCCTCTTGTGGCTGTTAACACACATTACTCTGTTCTGAATAGGAAAGAATGATTAATGTACATCATAATACAGTGTTAACAGGTAGCATCCAAAGATGAATTAACTCTAAATTATCAGTTATTCTTGTCTTTAATTTGTAAATTTGTTTTGATCATGCTACTTTGCTTTTTTCCAGTGTGCGGCAATAAGGGAATAAATTCAAATGAAGTAAAACAAATTGCATAATCAAACAACTAACAAAGCCATGTGTGCACATGCTATTCTTAATGTACCAATTTTATTTGCTTTATTTGTTTGCCTGTTAGACATAGTCAAGTTTAATCTATTTTCTGTAATGATACATGGAGAAATATATAAAAATGCAAGTGGAAATAATGTGATTGCTTTATAAGCAATCAAGTTTCTAGAATGTTAACTTGTCTTTATATTTTCAACAGATAAAAAGGGTGACACGGAAATATAAAAAAGCAAATGTGCTGCTAATAGAAGCGGGTATGAATAACAAGAAGGCAAAGGGGTATATTTTGTTGATTCTGATCAGTTTCCTAACTTCACTTACCATTTGTTAGAATTGTGCTAAGTGCCTTAACAACCAGGGTAATAGAGGCATTCTGAACATAATTCCTTTTGCTAGTACGAAGCCCAGCGCAGCCAATCATTCTGGTTTTGAGTTGGCATAAAGTAGCTCTTAGCTGTTAATGGCATGTCCACCATGGAATCCTGTTACAACTGCCAACAACCTCGAGAGGTCTTCCTCATCCCACCCCTTAAAATGTGCGTGGCTTTTATAAAACTTTTGTTCAGTGTGTTGCAGATCATACAGAAGGATTCTTAACTTTACAAAACCGCATATGTTGAGTAAAGGTGGATGTGCCTGTCCTTGTGGATTGGCTTAAGTCTGCAAAGCAACTTTAAACTTGCACTTCAGTCTTCATGTGGCCATCTTTATCTCTGTAGCTGAGGACCACTGGACATAGCTTCCCTCAAAGCTCGTCAATGTCACTCCTAAATCAGTTGTTCTGTTGTCTTGTGCCTAACCCAATTTAGCATCAAACAATTCCTTGAATATGAACTGGTAGCTCATAAGAATTAAAACTGATACAAATTCTATTCTTAAACTAGTTATGGAACCTAACCTGCAGAAAGATGTAGAATTTGGGGGGCTGTGGGGTGAGAATCTAAACTTGTCTGTATGCACTAACTATGTTCCTCTTTTTTTTTTTTTTTCCCCATGAAGTTTCTCTATAGGTCTCAAAAATCTAAAGCACTTTGACTGTAAAGAAAAGCAGAAGCTAATAGTAAGTACAGTAATAAGAAGCAGGCGTCACATTTTTCTTCAGTATATGACATTACTTTAAAACTGAATCCCTACTTATTGGCCTTAATTGGTTCTTTATTCCATAATAAAATTTTATGCAAATAGATCTTACCTTTTTTCAAATCTATTGTTCGTATAACTTTTTTCAGCTGGAATGCAATCTTGAACAAAGTAATTAAATGTAGATATTCAAGGCATGATACGTCTTTCAAAATGGAGGGCAGGAGGGTGCATTTGAGGGTGGGTACCTCGGATTGTCTCTGGAACTGGTTTTCGTTTGACTTACTGCTTCCAAGCTCAAAGCTCTCTAAGTGCCTGTATCTGCAAGGTAATCCATAGCTAATGGCTGTCAGCATCTGGCTTCCTTTAACTGTCTTCTTAGGACAAAACCACATTCAGCACGCATTGCAGAAAGCGTTCTTTAGTTTCCTAGCATCGACCAGGCCTAAAGGAATTTTTGCTTGAATCTGTCTAAATGGGTGGCAGTTCGGTAAGTCATAAATGCTCCAGTTAGTAGTTACATAATTTTTTACCCTACTAGAGCATACTTGTGAGACCGAGCTGAAGTTCCAGCTTATTACGGCAGCACAGCGCATTGCTTCTGTTCCCGAGCGTTTGCATTTTCATTTAAATTAGTTTTAGGCTTTCAAAATTCAAATCAAGCCTTGAAAAGACAAGTGCCAAAAGCATTGCCCAGCCAAGAAGGAATCCATAAGACTCTCCAAAGTACTTTCTCAAAAAACTTGTACTTGAATTGTCTTCAGGTTTTTAGTATTTTAAAAGTACTTAATATTTTGTATTATTTATTCAGTGTGGACTGAGTTCTCTCATAAATGTCTAACATGTAAGATGAGCTACACTATATTCACTATGAATGGTTTTTCTTAGCGCCTTTTAGCATGTGTATTTTTGTGGATTGTGTACTAGTATACAAAGTGCATTGATTTCAATAGGGTTTTCTATATCCTTGAAATGGATTCATAATAGTATGTACTCTTTTTAATCTACATTGAAAGCTTATAGATTTCTAAAATGTATTTTAACCATTTTAAAGGGATCAAATTGTTCTTGGGTTATATGGATCAAATGGCTGTTACACTATGTAATAGACAAAATTAATCCCTCTGCCTTGGAACTGCAAGCCATGTTCTCTCCCCGCTGATGCTGAGTAAGATGAGCTTTAACTGCCCTTTGACCTAGAATAGATATCCCAGTTCACCTGTGAGCTCTGGCAGAGGGAAACCTGCAGTTAAGAGCAAGTGGGAAAGGAGTGTGTGTATGTTTACAAGGCTGAAAACCAACAAATTGACCGAATTGTGGGTGTTGTGTACATTCTGTGAAGCAGGGAGATGTGGATGCTGTTTTCTGTCAGTCGGTTAATGTAGTTGGCTGGTTTGGAGTGTATAAAGTAAAGCTCCCTCTTTGTGAGGGGAAGAGTGCTCAGGCACCTACAACCATTCTGTCTGGGTTGTCAAACAAATGCATTCTACAATCAACTTCCCAGTGTGACTGGACTCCCAGAAGATGACTTGTCCTGAGTGTTCACCAGCTTCCATCAGTAACCCTAACCCTAAACGGGGTAGGTGTTAAAATCTGAGTAGCCTGTGGAGCCATACTCATTTAAAAATCTAATTACTTCTGTGCTCATTGCAGGATGGGGGAGATCGAAGCTCAGCCCATGTTAGCTTGCACTTCTGCAAGCCTTAAGAAATCTTCAGATTCCTCTGTAATGCAGTCCCAAAACTTGGGAACCATTTCTCCCCTTGGAAATAGAAACAAGCAATTTCATAAGCAAGACTTATCCATTTTATGATGGCAAATGGACACATTCCTCTGTTGCAGAAAAACACTGACCAAACATCCCTGCATTATTTTTTGATTGGTTGAGAGAGGAGGAATTATTCAGTTTAAATCCAACCTGTTGACTTTTTTATTGTAGGACAAAGCCAAAGAGGACTACAGCCAGGAAATTGAGTGGTGCATTGAATTGATTGCTGACTACAGAATTAGAGTAGGTAAGCAAATGGGTCAAGGCTGTCAACCATGTCCTTTCTAGTATATATCTATTGCAATATTGTCTTTCTTTAGATCCGGTGGAGCTGAGGCCCTTATACTTACAGGACATTGTGGTAGAGTAGAAGACTTGAGACCTGGGATTTATTGCAGGCTGAAGTTAACTCTTCCTTCTTGTGCCTCGGTTTGCCCACCTATGTGATAATTATACCTCACTGGATGCTGAGTCTTCATTAATCAATATTTTCAATGTGCTTTGAATCCTCAGAAAAAAAGTATACACCTGATTTTCTAATTTATATATTATATCAAGTCTGCAAGAGAAAATGTTCAAAGCCAAGAAAACATATTCCTGTTCTGCTCCCCTGACCGCAGTTATGAGTTAGCTGTGCTAGGGGTTCTGTGGTCGCTCTAATTTTGTAGCACCATGCATTGTGGGCTTCACAGGGGCCACCTGCCGTGGGCTGGATGCCATGGGAACTGAAAAAATAATCAATATTTACACAGTCTGTTAGAGACTGACAAATCTTCACAACGCCTCTTTAAAAAGTAGGTTTCCCCATCTTATGGATGAGGAAGAAGCTGAGGCAAGTGACATGCTCATGGCCAAAAGAGTTGCCCTACAAACTGGGATTGGAACTCAGGTGTTCCTGGCTCTCGGTTCTGGCATTAGACTATTGGGCCATACCTTCAGACATGCTTTGAAATGCTCAGTTGAAAGGTGCTGTATTATGAGCAATGTGGTGTTTAGATAATGTGCTGAATACCCTTCAGAGCTTGGAAATGTTCACCTGATCAATATTGGCACTTTATCTGTGCAGGACACCTTTAAGTGGCTTCTCTGTTTTAAAATTTGCACACTGTATGCCTGTTGCACTAAAGTATTTTAATGGTTGAATCATGTCTTTATTACAGCACCTTAAATTTAGAATATTTGCCTAAAAGCTGTAAAGTTTCTTTAGGTGCAGTCTTTGCGTAGAAAATATCAAACTTTTGTTTTCAGAGATTCTAATTGGATTGATAAAGGTTCCTTTATTTTTTTTTCAGGTTGTCGTTCTTTTACAGGATCCTTCTTGGAATACTGTGCTGATGACATCAGTAAGTATTTCCATGGGGAGGCTGGGTTTTTTCCTCATGTCCATGTCAGCCAGTGTAGATAGCTTCCTATGTATTAGTCTACCAAATTCTTGCAGTTAGATTTTCTGACAACATACTTCAGGGATGCCTAAAAATTTTGCTGTTAACTTTCCTTTTAATTTTGGAACTGAAAATATCTTAGTCAGTTTTTCTAGCACATGTTTTTCCGTGCTCGTGCAAATGAATAACAGTTGTTTCATATTGTCAGGTCAGAAATACCTAGTTGCCTTTATCTCTTCCCGTCAGTGCAGCCCCCAGAGAAAAAGAGATGGGGCAGGGTGAAATCCATACTACTTTTTTTTCTCAAGACACCTGCTAAGACCTGGGGCGCTTTCCCTTATTTGACACACTACAAATGGTTGGCAAGGTACCCGCACCATGTGTTTGTAGGTAGTACTTGCTTCTTCACAGTGAGCTGGGGAGGGAGAACGGGTGTAAAAAATGGGTGAGCTGCCAGAATAAGGAAGTAAGGATCAGGCGTAAGCACTCCAACTATTAGGGATATAGAGAAAACATCAAGACTTCAAAGCATTGAGTTGGAATGTTAGGAAGAGGGATCAAGAGAAGCATTCGGGGGGACAGGAGGCATTCAATGTCAAATTAGGCAGGAAACCGTTTTCCTGTCCCATGAGAATTGTTGAGTTTTTGAAAACTTTCCCATCTTGAATTGGGACAAAAAGTAAATCTTAAACGTTTTGGCAAACTGAAAATCGGGGTGGAGGGTGAAATCAGAAGAGCAATCAAAACATTTTGATTTTGACCTTTATTTTTTCTTATAAATTAACTTAAATTTCAAAACAAAAAATCATTTTGACCCCAAACAACCTGCCTTTTGAAACTTGTCAAAACTGACCTTTCCTGCACAGTCCCATACGCTAACTATAGCATGATATGGAAAAGAGGGATGCACTAAGCCTGCAGCTGACAATGGGAGATGTGAGGGTCATGTTATCTGACCTACAGATTAAGGTGGAGGTGCTGCCTGACTCATGCCAAAGATGGCTGTTGGTCTCTTTTAGGAGAGGTTTCTGTTCCTAGGCCTGTTCTACATTTTATACATGAAAGCATTTTGAGGCAAAGACTCCTTATCTGTATCTCACTGAGTGTGTGCAGCTCTATACACCAGCAAATGATAATGAATTTAATACACAAGATAGATCATAGTTAGAGAAGACATCTGTTGTCACCCTTCAAGGAATAAGCTGATACGTATAAGCACTAGGCAGGAATCTTACCTGTTTTATTTTTTACTTCACTCGGCCCAATCTCACTGTCATCCAGAATTGCACAAATAGCAGTGTGCATTATGGGGTGCCTTCATTCTTTGTCAATCAGACATTGGCTGCGGATGAAGACCTGATGCCACATTAGATCAACAAGTGGCCCACTTCAGCATGGGAACTCCGATGTTCTGAGAACAAATACATTTCAAAACCACTTCTATCCGAATTTCAGTTCTTTAGTTTCTTTTCTAGCATAGTTAAAGGTTTCTCTTCCAGAATCAAAAATATTTTATTTTTCTTATCTGCAGTGTATTTGGATGCAGTTACTTTAAGGCTGGCTTTCCTTTCAGGCTATCCAGTTAGAAAAGAAGTTAATCAAGGTAAATTACAAATGACCTTCCCAGTCATAGCAGAGGAAGACCTTGAAGAATCTTTGTCAGAAACTGCACCTATCAAACCCTCCAAGAAAGTTCTTCCTGATAGAACAAGGGCTGCCAGAGACAAAGCCAACTCCAAGATAGTCGACTTCATAGTGAAGACAAAGGGGGCAGAAGAGCATCTTTTGGCTATTTTGAAAAGCAAAAAGCAGTCCAGATGGCTGAGAGAATTTCTGAATTCAAGTCAGTATATGACCTGTGAGACCTACCTTGAGGATGAAGAGCAGTTGGACCTCGTGGTGAATTATTTGCAAGAAGTCTGTCATGAAATAGATACCAGGAAGCTGGATGTAAAAAATGGTGATAGAATAAAATTTATTTTGGATGTCCTTTTGCCTGAAGTAAGTGAACATCTTTACTGTTGTTTGACCTTGGTTCAAAGACTTGCTGAATGTTCCCCAGTCATTGAGTGATATTTGAGCTAGACAAGTTAAAATTAATGGGCCCAGTTTTTAATCTTGGGTTCTTCAGATTAAGTATCTGACTCTGGATTTAGGCAACTAAGATTAAAGGTGGACCCTTTTTTATTATTATTATTATTTATTATTATATATTAATAATATTAAACCATGTTTATGTGGCTCAGCCTTGGGAGGTCAAAGGTGTCCATTTGGTTCAGCAGAGCAATCTGAAAGCTTACATGTATATGTTTTTTTAAATATTCTTTGAAAATAAAGTGCCAAATTAGCATTCTGGGCCTCCTGCTGGTGTTGCTATCTTGTTGAAAAGTGAGTATGCACACCAGCATAACGGCAGCTCTGTCTCCATTTATAAACAGTTGTCCAGCTTGATTTATTCTGAAACTTCTTATGTAAGCACCAGTTTAAATATCAAACATTAATGGTTTGTCCAGAATTGCCTTATTGTAGAATAAGAGCGCTATACAATAGCTCTCTGGGCTCATGTATTTCTGGTGTCACAATGTTACCTTTAGGGAAGATGGCTGCTTCTCACAGTATGCTAATTATAATTTGCCTTTCTGAAATGCTTTTATTATTCCAATCTCTGCATTTTTAGAAAATTACACAAACAACTTTTCCTAAACTCTATAAATACTTCTGTCATGTGGCCTATAAAAAGAACGGGAAAAATCCTTGTAAGGAACTTTTCCAACTTCTATAGAAACTAAAATTTCTTTTAAACAAAATTTAAACGTCTAGCTCTTATGGCTGCAAAAAGATCCTTCCAAGTGGGTTATAGGAAGAGTTTATTTCCTGAATTTCATTTCTTTAAATACACACTTTTTTTTCTAAAAGCACGATGAGCGAACTTTACTAAATAAGGTAAAACCTTATTCCAGAATTTTGTTCATCTGCTGAGACAATTTCAGTTGCCGTTTTCAGATTCTTGTGCATACAATTTAAACTTTTTAATTTTTCACTAGTGTCAATAAACTCTGTTCTTACAGGCCATCATTTATGCAATTTCTGCTGTGGATGATATAGACTACAAGAAAGCAGAGGAGAAGTACATAAGGGGACCATCTGTCAGCAAAAGGTATGGTGGTTATTGTCATCTCCAGAATTTGACCTGTCAGACTTTTCGCCTAGAAATTAGCCTGATTCTCACCCGTCTTTGCTTAAAAAATCAGCGTGTAGCCCCAACTTCCGGTTCATAAGGAAATAAGACTCATTAGGTTTTACCTTGTTTTCTCAATCAGTAAAATCTTCTCAAAAGTGGGCTTTTCCAGCCGTCCCTCAGCTTTTGCAAAAATATTACTCTCTATTCCAGTGGTTCCCAAACTGGGGTTCGTGAACCCCTGGGGGTACATGAAATGTTACAGGGGGTTCTCAGGAAAAAATTCCCTAATGGCGGACAGAACTGTCCGTAGGGACCCCGGGCAGCACGGGCCAGCAGCCCGGAGCCTTGGGGACTTCCAAGAGCTAAGCAGATCAAAGCAAGCATATCTATCACACTGAGGAGATTTAAACTTCAAGTCTCCTTTTACGAAATAGAAAGGGAGGTGGATATTTTTTGCTGTTTTTAAAATTAAATAGTCTGCTACTGTTGTTTTTAAATTATTATGAAGAACAAGTTTAAGCTTTGTTGTAACGTGCATTGTTTGCCTGGACTGCTCAAGACCTGAATGCTTGTGTAGGAGGAACTCTTTCAGTTGGCTTCTTAAATACCTTCATGATTTTTCACATCAGATACTCCTTGATGAAACATAGGAGCCAGAGGCGACAGTATGGGGGGGGCAACGAGGGTCACGTGGCGCCCCCACGTCCGCGTGGTGCCCCTATGGGTCCCTGCCCTTTTTTTCCAGTGGCCCCCGTGGGCTCCCACTTTTATGGCTTTGACCCCGCACCCCTTTTTTCTACTGGCACCTCTGATAGGAGCCTTGTCTTATAACAGGCTTAATCAAAAGTGATACAAGCTACAAAAGTGAGCTCTTGGAAAAGTGTTGCCATTTTCATAATGTAATAAAAATAGAATCATAGAATATCAGGGTTGGAAGGGACCCTTAGGAGGTCATCTAGTCCAACCCCTTGCTCAAAGCAGGACTAATCCCCAGACCGATTTTTGCCCCAAATGGCCCCCTCAAAGATTGAACTCACAACCCTGGGTTTAGCAGGCCAATGCTCAAACCACTGAGCTATCCCTCCCCCCCATACTGTAATGATAAATAATAATTAATAAATAGTGTGTAATAAGCATGTCATAAAAACAAATTTTATATTTCCAAGATCAATGCTTTTATAATTTATGCTGAGGTAAGGGAGAAAATCCATGGAAATATTCGTTTTTAGGAGGGGGTTCACGAGACTTGACATTTTAGTGAAAGGGGTTCGTGAGTTGTTAAAGTTTGGGAACCACTGCTCTATTCATATTTAAAGCAAGATTTGACTATTCCAACATGGAAACTTGTCAGAAATTTTAACTCCTTGAAAAACTTAGCATTTGGCTTTTCATCTTACTTTAAAAAAAAAGGGGGGGGGCTAGAGTCTTTGCTTCAGTTCAGTCCCCTTTATGCTGAATGCGTGGCGCTCAGAGGTTGTAATGTGGCTGCAGCTGCCCAGTTGTGAATTCTGCTGGTGGAGGGGAATTCTTAACTCACATAATGCTGGTGTAGTGTGCCTTTGCCAGCCTCCTCCCTGGCATAAGGGGGCATACCAGGGGAGGAAGTGAGTTTGGAGTGGCATGGGGAGGGGATAGAATGGAGCCAATTCTCCCCAGGCCAATTCTCTGCTGGCATGTGGGCCTTTAGGAACCATATCCCTCTGTCTGAAGTTAGAGCAGCCCATAGGCTGATATGTATTGAGCAACAGTAACTAAACCCAATTAAATTGGTGCATAGAAGATTACTGCATAATACTAGTCATTGTTTATGTAGCACAGTTGTGACATATACAAAGGGATAATTTGAAGATGAAGAGGAAATGGAGACTCCCGTTCAGTTTCGCTTAATGCATGTACAGTAGGACCTCAGAATTATGAGCTGACTGGTCAACCACACACCTCATTTGGAACCAGAAGTACGCAATCAGGCAGCAGCAGAGACGGGGGTGGGGGTGGAAAGCAGATATAGTACAGTACTGTTAAATGTAAATTAGAAAAATAAAGGGGAAATTTAAAGAAGAAAAATTGACAAGGTAAGGAAACTGTTTATGTGCTTGTTTCATTTAAATTAAGATGGTTAAAAGCAGCATTGTTCTTCTGCACAGTAAAGTTTCAAAGCTGTGTTAAGTCAATGTTCATTTGTAAACATTTTGAAAGAGCAACCATAACATTTTGTTCAGAGCTATGAACATTTCAGAGTTACGGACAACCTCCATTCCCAAGGTGTTTGTAACTCTGAGGTTCTACTGTAATCAGTTTTTGATTAAAAACTAGTTTAGATGTTTTTGTTATGGTGAAAATGCAAACTTCTAGACAAGATGAAGACCCAAGATTGCCGGTATTTAAAAATAACTAACAGATATTCTAAAATGCTTACATTTTTAAAATGTACCTTGACTGCCCACTTATAATTGTAAAGCTAACTTCTTTCATTATCCAAGTGCTGAAATGCCTAAATGTTGGAAATATTCCTACTGACAATAGTGTGTTTTGGGTGTGTTTTTTGTTTTCTAAGAAGAAAGTAAGTTTTTATTTTTAAATGCAGAAGTTCAGTGCAATGTTCGGGGTTTTGTGGGTTTTTTTTTCTTTCAGGGAAAGAGAAATATTTGACACAGAAATTCTAGAAAAAAAGAAACTGGAGCTGCTGAAGACTGACCTTGCCCCTGAAGACAGTGTATAGCAACAGCAGTAGGGAGCTTTAAAGTCTGCACTGGCACTGAATGTATATCATGGAGAAGAAGGCAATTTTTTGAATAAATTGTGAAATATTTTTACTTTTTTATCAACGTGTAAATATTCTTTAGTGGATGTGCTGAGTCTTCAGAGTGCTGTGTTCTTTCGGATGCAATTGTACTTCTACGTCTTGTTGTAAGTTTTTTGTTCTATGGAACTGCTCATTGCTTTCCTCTGAGTGATATACTACTGAACTCCCTGTAAAATTAATTTTACAAAGATGTAATATAAATTTTTATGGACGTATTGCTAGTCAGTTAGCTTGACGTCGCCCTACCCTACTTGAAATGTACATTAGTAACAATCTAAGAGGATAAATGGCAAATGCTTTGTGAGGCTTTTGACATAATCATGTCATTTGTATTTAATTTTGTGTGGATTAGCCTTTCAGAATATCGTTGGAAACAAAGGTCTGCCATCAGAGGAATCTGTGATGATAGAAATGTAGAGTTACAGGATTTTCTATAGCCAAGTATGCTTTGGTAGTTTCATTACTGCTAAATATACTGGGTTTCCTGTTTTAAAATTTTCAGAGGTTGATTGTTCTTGCTCTACTTTAATTTATGTACCTATGGGGAAATAAAAATGCCACCCATTAATGAAACCCAAGGCACAGAAGCTCTCTTTCTGTTATAGGGCAACTTTAAACTTTAGTGTAAGAGAAGGCGTTCAACACACTAGAATTATTTTATAATACAATCCGCTTCACCTCATTTAGAAAGATGAAGCAATAAATTCAATGAGTGTCATGTTTAGCATATTGTAAGTTAATGAAACCACAGTTTCTAGGCACACATTTGGCATTTTTATGTCTAGCCTATTCAAAAATCAAATCTGCGTGCTTCTGGGGCTGTGCCAGCATTAGAAGCAGTTCACATCATGGTATCACAAATTCATTAGCATGTTGCAAACAGATTACTGTTGGCTGGCCTACAGTGAAGCTGGCTGACATCAGAATTCATTGACAGAATACGTCTTAATTTGGGAAGAGCCAATCAAAAAGGTTGGCTATTTATATTCTATTTGTAGTACGAATCTCTGATCAGGGTGTGGTATACAGTCTGAACTGAGGTGTAGTTTGATTTATATGGAATTAAATGATGTAGCTTAATTTTTTTCAAATCTAATTCCTTGTGAGAAAATGGAATGTAAAATGGCATATTGATATTGTGTGTATCTATATTGTACTCATCTGAATAGTTCTTCAAATGACACTAACTGCGCTGTATCTTGAGAGTCCATCCTCCTTGTATGGTTTAGTGACCTATTAAATAGGTGTATTAAGAACATGAATGTAACAAATGAATGTGAGGATATCGTACTAAAATCTTCTTTCATATTACTTTTCACTAAAACTTTTTGGAAAAGGGATAATGCAATTGATATACACTTTTTGTCATGGTATAAAACCTTTAATTACAAGCCAGTTATATAAATATACCTTCAGCTCTGCAAAGGTCTTGAAAGCTGCTTTGGCAGACATTAATTATAGATGGAGATTTCTGAGGCTTGGTGCTATCTCTTTTACAATGTGCAAGCTTCGTGTTCAGAAGAGAGATTTAACACAAACAAACAAACAAAACTACTGCAGCCACTGTTCCCAGAGATAATGGGCCACACCAAATGTAAATCTCTTAAAGTTGGGGGAAAGAAGGGAGGGAAAGGCTTAAATCACAATGCGATACCCATTTCCCCTCCTGAAATCAATCAACACCACACATGCACTTTTCATCAATATTGCCATAATGGTTATGGGACTTCTAAGCAATGCCACAGTAGCTGAAATTCTAATATCTCATGTTCTCGAATTACAGTCTGGGGAGAAGTAACCTCAAAAATTCTGATGCCTCATTTCTATGTATCACACTCTTTTCCATGTTCATTTTTTCCCCTTTCCTCTTCTAATCACATCCTACCATAAGACTTTTTTTAAAATACAAACTAGTAGTAATAGCTAATCTAATTGCACTTTGTTAACCAAGAATGAATTGCCCTAAAGTAGTACATCATGTTGAAGTTTCTTATGTTTTTAATATGTGCCTAGCACAACTTAGCCTTGAAAATATTAAAAACAAAATTTAAACATTATTATCTTCAAGAAACCAAAGGCTAGATAGCTTTTTTTTTTTTTAAACTGTTATTTTTATGGGTATATTAAGGCCAAATTCTGCACTCAAATCCACATTTGGCTGTCATTAACTTCAGTGGGTGCTGCACATATGTATCCAAAGGCTTAATTGGATCTGTAAACTTAATTGGAATAACAAATACTTTTCCACTCATTGTAGAAAGTGCATTACTGTAAAGTACAGATAAATCTGAAGACCGTCTTTTTGAATTCCCATAAGATATTGTATTAAATTTAACAGTACATTCAGATTGATATTGCCTAGTGCAGTAATAGAAAGTAAATATGATATACAGTATTTACCTTTTTATGGTATTTTGTGTGACTTCAGTTTCTTAAATACCAACTAAAACTGTGTACCTAACAAGGCATGAACTCTCCAAGGTATATTATTTCTACTTTGTTTAAATAAATTCAGTTGCTTCAGATACAGTTCATGTAATCCATTGCTCTCAGTTTAACCAAAAAATCTTCCAGCTGCATTTTGTATTGTCTGACAGTTGAGTTGATTTTTTTTTCTTCCTACTATGGGTATGTCATACCATTAAATGACAGTATTTGTGTTGAAATATTTTGTGTATCTTGTAAGATAACATCTGGGTGAATATAAGAAAGCAGTGTCCTGTATTGTAATTTTTAATAAAGCAGAATAACCAAAAAGAAACAATTTTAATCAATGGCTTGTTCTTCATTGGGATGTACAGTACAGTTTAAAAATAGCACTTCCAATATTCTGTCAGCGAAGTGGTTTCTTTTAAAATGTTTAACTTATGTCTGCCTGTGTTTATTTCTAACCCATGGAGGGTTTTGAGTAAGCATCCAAAAGTATTTGTGATGTGTTTATCTAAATTGAACCTTCTGAGATCCCGTCAATATTATTGTTAATAACATTTTGATAACTCTGCCTTCAACATCTACACTAATGTGTTTTACTTATACTTTCATTGTAGGCTATTTGCCCTTTAGAACTGTAATAAGAATGGGCCTTCAAATATCTCAGATGGTTTTTTTTCCAAACACAATTTAATCATTTGAAACCCTGATGATGGAATCTTGTTCAGTACTTTAAGGCTAAGCTACATGGAGACACTTACTGGCATAATTGTAACTTCTAATGTGAATGCTCTTATTCTGACATGAGTCCCTCTTTGAGATTTAGTTTGTCACTTCCTAAGCAACATAAATTAAACCAGAGAGAGACACTTATTCTGGAGTGAGTGTCCAGAGGGGGAGTTATAAATACACCTCTACCCTGATATTGTACCTGATATAACACTAACTCAGATATAATGCGGTAAAGCAGTGCTCGGGGGGGCGCTGTGTGCTCCGGCGGATCAAAGCAAGTTCAATATAACGCGGTTTCACCTATAACGCGGTAAGATTTTTTTTTGGCTCCCGAGGACAATGTTATATCGGGGTAGAGGTGTATATCAGGGTAGCTAGGTTGATAAATATCCCTATGTAGACAAGTCCTCACCCTAAATACTTTCCCCCCTCCTTAAACTAGTTCATTGATATGCATCTATGGCATGTTTCTTCATATCTAAGCAATGTATGGACAAAATCCTAGGGAAGAAGGTTCTGTTAAATTGTGTGTGTGTGTGTGTGTGTAAACTCCAGGCTTTTTAGTTGTTAAGCTGTTCTTGTCGGTAATGACGTTTTTAATTCTCTGTAAATGGAAAGCAGCATTTTGCAGGGAATGAGAATAAACAGAGGCACTATTGCCTAGCTAGTTGCAGCTCCAAATACTGCACTGTTGCATATCAGATTTTAAGAATAGCATCTCACTGCTCCATCCATCAGTGTCTGTGGCAGGCATGGCCACACTGTGGCTTGTGAGCAACCTGTGGCTTTTTTACAGTTAATGTGTGGCACCTGGAGGGCGCACGTGCACACACACAAATTTTCTGCCTACTAGACTGGGCACGGGGAAGCTCAGGGCTTCTGCCTGCGGCAGGATTATGAGACTAGGCAGGGGTCGGCAACCTTTCAGAAGTGGTGTGCCGAGTCTTCATTTATTCACTCTGATATAAGGTTTCACGTGCCAGTAATTCATTTTAACATTTTTAGAAGGTCTCTTTCTATAAGGCTATACTATAGAACTAAACTATGGTATGTAAAGTAAATAAGGTTTTTAAAATGTTTAAGAAGCTTCATTTAAAATTAAATTAAAATGCAGTGGCCAGGATCCGGGCAGTGTGGGTGCTACTGAAAATCAGCTCGTATGTTGCCTTTGCCACATGTGCTATAGGTTGCCTACTCCTGGACTAGGGGCTTCTGCCCTGTAGGGAGAGGGGTCTTAGGGCTTTAGAGTGGCAGGAGGGAGGCACTTCATTGTTAGAGGTTTTAAGAGTAGGGAGAATTTTTTGTAAAATCCTTCCACCTATCTCGTTCTCTAGTTAAAAAATACAATCCACTCTCTGGACTATGAGCCTGTTGCTTAGTTGCAGAGGGAAGAGTTCAAAGAGAGATTTGCAACAGTGGCTCTTAACTCCCAGTTGCATATCAGGGGTTAGCAGGTGAAACGTTTGCTCAGTTGGTGCTGCATTTGCGAATACCCCGCAAGGCATCAGGGCTTGGAACCTAACTGATGCTTGGGACATGGAAACTGCTAAAACTAACCCCTTTTGACCAAGGAAAACATCTGCCGAAACCCGGGATCGAACCAGGGACCTTTAGATCTTCAGTCTAACGCTCTCCCAACTGAGCTATTTCGGCTGGTTGTGGTCTCCTTTCTCTCCTCCTTACCCTGAAATTGAAGATTGATGCCCAAGGGTTTATTAAAGTGTCTTTATTCATGTATTGATCGAGTGCTTTGGTGTTTGCCTATGTAGCCCATTGCCAATGTATGCAAAGGTCCACTTCCTTGTTTGATTTGATAGCCATCAGCGTGCAGTGCTGTACCCAACCGAAGAAGACACTGGCCCAGCCAGTCCAGGGAAGACATGCAGGACAGATATGCCTTTGTCCCACTAAAATGACTCCAGTACAGTTAACGTTGTTACTGATTAATTAAGTGGGTGAGAAGAGAGGAGGCTTGGGTTGTTTTCTTGGGGCTGGGGGAGAGGGGGCTAAAATTTGGCTATATATATGAAATATGTCCCCAGAAAATAGGCCAGATTTCTACCCTTACTCCTTTGCAAATGCTGGCTCTGGATGCTCATATGCAAGACCAACTGAAGGAGCAGAGGGACAGTCATCCAGGCTTTCTCAAGTGAGCAAAGCATAGGGCTGTGGGAGCAGTGAGGGAGTAAACACAAATCCCACAGAGAGCTTTTTTTTTTTTTTTAATCAGATCAAATTCTGGGGTTCTGGCCACTGGCCCTGCACCCTGGTAGAGGAGGTTGCTAACACTCATGCTGTTGCAATGAGATGATCTGGAGTCAATGAAATGTGCCCTCTCACCTAATACAAAAAGAACGGGAGTACTTGTGGCACCTTAGAGACTAACACATTTATTTGGGCATAAGCTTTCGTGGGCTAAAACCCACTTCATCGGATGCATGCAGTGGAAAATACAGTAGGAAGATAGATAGATACACAGAGAACATGAAAAAATGGGGGTTAGGATACCAACTCCAACGAGACTAATCAATTAAGGTGGGCTATTATCAGCAGGAGAAAAATAATCACTACAATTTTTTTTCTCCTGCTGATAATAGCCCACCTTAATTGATTAGTCTCGTTAGAGTTGGTATGGTAACCCCCATTTTTTCATGTTCTCTCTCTGTATGTGTATATGTATGTATGTATATTTCTACTGTATTTTCCACTGCATGCATCTGATGAAGTGAGTTATGCAAAAGCTTATGCCCAAATAAATGTGTTAGTCTCTAAGGTGCCACAAGGATTCCTCATTCTTTTTGCGGATACAGACTAACACGGCTACCCCTCTGAAGCCTGTCACCTAATACAGTGTCCTGGGGCTGCACCAATGGTTTGTCGGACTGTCAGCAAGTTGTGCCGAAAGTCAGCCCGTGTTTGGGAGGTGCCAGCCCACAAGCAAAAAGGCCCCCTTCCTTGGAAGGTGTCACCCGCATCTTTCACAGGGACACAATGTCACGAGACAATCTCCTCCCTTTGCAGCAGCACCTCAGCCTGGTTTCACAAGACCCCCCCAGCTTTTGGGAGCCCCGCAAAGCTGGAGCCCACAGGCTGCATGCGGCCCTGACACCATCAGGCTCACCCCCTGGGCAATAACTAGGAGGAGCCAAGTGGCCAGGCCTCCTTAGGGAATTACCTCCTCCTGGAATCTAGTCTATAGTTAGAGCCCTGTTGCTTTGCCTGGCTAAGCAGAACATTCTTTCTTGGTATTAATGATCACAACGCTGGACATTAAAAAGACACCACCTCTTTGGAGACTAGGCCTGGTCTACACTACGGGATTAATTCGGATTTAGCAGCGTTAATTCGAATTAACCCTTCACCCGTCCACACAACAGAGCCATTTAGTTCGAATTAAAGGGCGCTTTAAATCGATTTCTGTACTCCACCTCGACGAGCGGAGTAGCGCCAAAATCGATTTTGTTAATTCGAATTAGGGTTAGTGTGGCCGCCACCACCGAATTAATGTGGTTAAAATTAATGGGGTAGTGTGGCCGCACACCACCGAATTAATGTGGTTAAAAACCGAATTAATGTGCTTAGTGTGGCCGTGCACAATCGAATTTATACAACCTGTTTCCCAAAGTCGAATTATCTAAATTCGGATTAATCCCGTAGTGTAGACATACCCCAAGTCTCTTGTCCCTTCCCCAGGAGTATTAGCTGTAGCCTTGCACACCCAGGGGCCCTGAATCGGAGGGATCAGGCAGCTGGGCGAGCTGCTGAGGAAGGCCAGTCCTTTTTCCAGTCCAGCCCTTCCTCGCTCGCCCTGGAATAATGTCTGCCACTTTGTGTTGCAAAGTCCTTTAAGTGGTAGGCACAGAGCAGGAGATGAAATTTAAGATCTTAGGGGGCTGCAGAAAACAGCTTAGCAGCGCGGTCTCTGTGGCGCAATCGGTTAGCGCGTTCGGCTGTTAACCGAAAGGTTGGTGGTTCGAGCCCACCCAGGGACGCGGCTCTGCTTTTTTGCCCCCAAGCACGGTCTGGGGCTGGGTGTGGGGGGGATGCAAAGGGAACGGCCCAGGTGGCGAGTGGGGAGCTGTGGCTTGTGCAAGGGAAATAAACCCTCTTCCTGAAGGACAGGGGAAGGGAGGCTGCATTTTTTGCACGAGGGGCGGTAGCATTTGAGTGGGACACTAAGTGGGGGAGGGAAGTCAGTGAGCAGCCAGACAAGAGCTGCCCCTACGCAAGATGGCTGCGCCAGGAGCCAAGGAGGGAGAACGTGTTTCTTTGCACACACACACACACACCCCAAAGCGGTGCAGCTGGGTGTCCCCTTTGCACCCCCTCGCTAATCCTGTGCCCCGTCTGCGCTGCAAACAACCCCCCTGCAAGTGTCTGGGACAAGTGGGTGCCACGCCCACGTGTTCTGCGCCCCCTCGGCCACCCCGCGCTGCAGCTCTGAGTCCCCGCCCCTGGCAAGTTCCTGGCCTCACCTTTTGAACCCCCCCCCCCCCTTTGCACATAATTTTGCACCGCCAGCCTTTCACACACACACTCACACACACCTACCTCCTTACACACACACACACACACCGATACCTT